CCACCCCCGGTTCTTACCCCCTCCACTGGGAATTCATCCATCTCCACCTCATCCTCGTGGGTCGGTGCCACCACACGGGCCAGGCTGGCGCTCAAAGCCGACAGTTTCTGCAGCAGGAGGAGAACGAGAAGGCGTCACACCCAACCAGAGGTTTGGGGATGTAAAAAGGGGCAGTTTCACGGAGGAAGGCGGTTTCTCAGAGCAAGAGGTCAAAAGACCTAGGGACTACACAGATATTTGGCCTGCTCCACGAACTGTCACACCTTGGCAGTCTCCAGCACAGGGCTTCGGAGCGGTCCCCCACCATGCGGGGGGGAGACCAGTGGCCCCCGAGGCCAAGCACAGCTCCACCCTTGGCTAGCATGAGGGGGGGCTAGGAGTTTGGGACCAGCCCCCTTTCACCACGCAGGCATCTGGCTCTGCTCCTGGGTCCCCGCACACCGAGTGCCCCACGCCAGGAGTCCGTGGTCAGGACACCAAGACCGCGGTGACAGCAGCATCCCTCACCTCCAGGTAGCTCTCTGAATCCATGGCGTACTCCTTGCCCTCTGCGGGCTTCAGCTCGGCATCAACCTGGCTGTCGATCTGGGGAGAAACATAAAGGTGGGGAGGCAGCTCCCAAACCCCCCAGATATCCCCCGCCTCTGCCACCTTGACCCTCCAACACAGGCTCACTTCCCACCGCCCGCACCGGGGGGTTCCCCCCAAGCTCGGGCCAGCGCAGCGCGTCCCCGGGGCAGGCAGTGGCCTCACCTTGGGGGGGTAGAGCAGGTTGAGGGAGTGGTAGAGGCGAAAGTTGACGAAACCCAGCAGGGTGGTATAAAACTCGGTGAAGGTGGCCATCACACGGTAATCCACGTCTGTGGGGTGCTGCAGGCACGCGGGAAGGGCGAGGATATGAGGAGAAAGGACCGGAGTCCCCTCTGCAGGGACAGGGCCCCATCCCATCTGCGCAGGGAGCAGGATCCTGCCCCCTTCACAGCGAGCTCTGGAGTTCTGTGGCCACCGCCAGAGGCTGGGCAGGGAGAGCTCTCCAGGCCCTGCTGCCACTCCTCTGTGAAGGGACCTGCTCGGACAGACGGAGCACCTCACCCATCCCATTAGGGATGGGGACCTCAGTGGCTTGGTCCAGGGACTCTGCTCCTCCAGGTGGGAAGTGCAGGCCACGGCAAAGCCGGACAAGGAGCCAAACTCGGCAGGGACCCAGCCAGCCCTCACAGCAGCCAGAACTCAAAGGAGCAAGCAGTAACACTGGCTGGGAAAGGACATGGGTTGGCTGAGGAGATGCTGCAGGGGTGAGCTGGGGCGGTGAGCCCCAACACGGGCCATACCAAAGGCCACAGAGCTGGAAAGCCTCAACCTAGCTGTGCCAAGTCCTGGAAAGCCCAGGAAGGGCTGGAAAGTCCCCGAGAGGGGATTGCTGTGACTGTGAACTTCTACCTGTCAGGATTCTTGGCAAGGAGCAGCAGAGCTGGGTGGCTGTCCGGGCACGGTGGCACCCGCAGCTCTCCCCTTGCCCTGCCGCCTGCCCGGACCACGCAGGGGAGGCAGCAGAACCACCCTGGTAGAGAGTGCAGGGTCTGATTCGACTCTTCCCCAGGTGCCACCAGCCTCATTCCTGCAGGTTAATCTTTAATTGCTGATTAAGGAACGTTTTAATAATTGACAAGAGGAAATAAGGAACTGGGGAGACTGGTACAGCCAGGCACAGGGTACAGCCATCCCGGGGGGGTAGAAGAGGGTTGTGTCCCCGCACGGATCCTGCCGTGCTCTGCCCAGGTACTCACATCATGGGCGAAGGTATAAGGGGTGATCCACGTGACGGGCTGCCCCAGCACCTCGGCCTGGTAGTAGATGCCTTTGATGGAGAGGAAGACCTGGGAGGGAACAGAGCGAGGGCTCAGTGGGAGGAAGGCCACGGGTACTCCCTTGTCACTGTCCTCATTAACCCCTCCCTCATCAGCAGTTTCATTAGGGAGTGTCAGACAGCCCGGTGGGACCCGTTCCCCATCTGAGGCTGCCAGCACAGCTGGCCCGCTGCCTTCCTGGGGCACAAGTCCACAGCCTCCACCCCCACGCCCCCACCCCGGGGCAGGGAGGTCTTGTCCCCATCCCTCCCCGCAGCGCCCACCTTGCGCAGGGAGCGGGAGGCGATGACGTAGTTGAGGAACTCCACGGCCAGGCGCCGGCAGAGCTGGACGGTCTGGACATGGCACTTGCCCGTCCGCGGGAAGGTAGAGAAGAGGAAGCACATGGAGAGGGCATCGTCCAGGTCCCGCAGCGCGTCTATGAAGGTTGGGTACCTGTGCCCGGGCAGGAGGAGAGGAGGGAATCACACCCAGCCCCAGCGCTCACCGAAAGCTGCCGGGGCTGGCGGAGACCTCGCGTGAGAAAGGAACGGGCACCACAGACTGTCCATCTTCCCCACGCCCCACCGAAGCTGGTGACCCACAGGGACAGGGTGTCCCTCCTGGGCACCAGGGAGCCTGCGGTCACACCGGGACCTCCAACAGCTCCCTGGGGAGCCAGGAGTCTCCCTGGCGAGTGGATGGCAACACCCCTGATTACAGGGTGGGTGTAAACCATCTCCCCTCCCGAGCACAGCGCTTGTCGGGCACCGTGTCTCTCGGGGCTGTTTCTCTCTCCCTTCTCTGCACCAGCACAGTGCGGTCCCAAGCACCACCAGGACAATGAAGACACCTGCCAGAGCAGGTTCCCTCCCTCTGCGTCCTCTCTTCCCCCACTGTCACCAAATTTAGCGATTCTGTTGGCATGATCCACCCTCCACCAACCCTCCCTCCAAGGAAAACACTGCTCAGGGAGAGGAGACGCTCTTGGTGTCTCCCTGGAGCCATCTCAAACGGCCAGGCGCACTGCTCACTTGTGTTTTGCTACAGCCAGCACGTAACAGCCTTCTCCTCCAACCCAGAGACACTGGTTGCCATCAAAACCCCAAAAATATATATATAGGAGACAGACTCCTAAAGAGGGACAAACACGGCGAAAGCTCCACAGGTCCAGGCGGCTGCAGGGGAAGCTCCTCCCAAGAGAGGACGGCTCTGCTGGGACTCTGCTGGCGGCTCACCTCTCCTTCACGATGTGGTCGAGCTTGTAGCTGGGCTTGTTGTCCTTCAGCCGGTCTACGGTGCTCCACTCGCTCTTCCCGTACGCCTTCCGGAGCTTTCGCACGAAAACCTGCGGGACAGGGGGAGGCCGGGGGGCTCTGCGGGAGAGGACGAGCCCCGAGCAGCCCCTCGGGCACCACCCCGGTGGTCTCACACGGGATAATTACCTTATACTCCCGGAACTTGTTGACGATGGGCTCGTGAAGGAGGAATTTGATATCCTTGAGGAGGTAGAAGGTCCTGGGGGCGGTGGAGCCTTTGTTCACCTTTTTTTTGTGCTTGGGCTCGTGAGGGTAAATCCCCTTCAGGATGCAGAGGCGCCTGGTAACGGTGAGGAGGGTGAGACACTGGGGGGGGTGGGGGAAAGCACCCACGTACCTCCAACGTGGATCATGCCAAGACCGTCTCCCTCCAGTGCTGCCACCCCTCGGAGCGGGGGGGGGAGTCCCCAAAACTCAGCAGTCTAAAACCCTGGGACATATAGGCCACCCCACGCACCCACCACGGGCTCGATCTGCTACTGCTCCCCTAGAAGAGCTCCGGTGGGGGGGTCTGGGGGTCCCCTGGGGCGGGGATCAGGGGGTCCCCGGCGCACCTGAAGTCAGGCAGGCTCAGCTGCAGCTTCTTCCGCGCCCTGTTGCGGGTGATGTAGTTGGTGGCGGATCCCCGCTCGTACTGGGGAGAGACGGGGGCGTCGGGAAGGGCCGGGGGGAGCCCCGCGGCAGGGAGGGGGGTGGGAGAGGGAGGAGAAACGGGAACCGGCGGGAGGTGGGGAAATGAGGGGACGGGAAGAAGGGGCACGGCCAACTTGAGGCGGGGTAGGGAAAGCGTGTGTCACGGGCGGGCACCGTGGGGAGACACGGGAGGGCACTGGAGGGGGGAGACACGACACGGGAGGGCACCGGGAGCGGTGGGGACGGGCATCGGGGGGTGTGAGGGTGGTCACCGAGCGGGGGGCAGGGGCAGGGCAGGCCCGGTGCCGGGGGTGAGGGGGATGACGGCCGCGCCGCCCCGCCGTACCTTCTTCTTCTCCAGCCCGCCCATGGCGCCGCCGCCCGCGTGCTCCCTCCGCGCCGCAGGACCCCGGCCCGCCCTGCGCGCTGCCTGCTCCCGGGGACCGGGCGGGCGGGGCGGGGCTCGGTCAGGCGCAGTGCGGGCAGCCCGGTAAGGCGGGGAGGGTCCTTCGGCGCGGGGCACGCTGGGATATAGCGAGGCGGCGCGGGGCACGCTGGGATATAGCGAGGCAGCGGGCGCCCGGGGGTCCCGCGGGGTGGGTGGGCGGTGCTGCCCAGGGGTTCTCGGGGTGTCACCCCCCCCCCGCCCCCCAAAACTGGGCGCGGCCCCGGGGTGGGGTCTCCCGTCCTCCGGGGCCTGGCAGCCGCTGAGCGCGGGCGATGCCGGGGGGGTCCCGCCCGCCCCGCGGTGCCTCCGCGGGGGGTCTGGGGGGGGCGGTTGGGTCCCCGCCCGGTCCCGGTCCCGGGGGCGGGACGGACGTTTGCCCGATGCCACTCGGAGCGGCGGGGGGTGGGGAATCGGTCCCGACCCGGGGTTCGTCCGTCCCGGGACCCTCCGCTGCGCTGATTTGCGTTTGAGGGTCCAGCACCCCCGTACCCGCCATTTCTCTACGGAGCTGCGCGATTAATCCTCATTTTCCTTTTCAATAAAACCCCGGCTCCAGGCGAGCAGTGGAGCTATTGCTTTCGACGGCTGCGGGGATGTGAGGGAGCAGGGTTTGGGGGGTTTTCATCCCCTCCTTTTTTTTTTTTTGGGGGGGGGTGGGGAGGGCGTGTGTGTGTGTGTGTGCTAACTTTGGACTGGTGATTTTGACCCCGACACCGGCGTTTCGGGTCTGGCCGTCCCGGTGCGGAGGGCAACGCGATCGCGGTGCTGGCACGGTTCGTGCCGGGTCGGGGACCCGAGCGAGAATCACCCCCTGCCCCGGCGCGGGGTCACCCCGCTCCCCTTCGCTTCGCTTCCAGCCAAAGTCCTTTCCCGTTTCTGCTGACTTGGCCCCGGCTCTGCGGAAACGGCCTCTTGTGACACCTTCCCATCCCCGGCGGTGGCCCGGTTGGGCTCTGCCTGCCTCGCCGTGCTGCCCCACAGCACCCACCACCCCACAGCACCCACCGCCCCACAGCACCCACCGCCCCACAGCACCCACCGCCCCGCAGCACCCACCGCCCCGCAGCACCCGCCGCCCCGCTCCGGCATGTGGCTGCTGCTCATCCTGCTGCAGGCTGCCGTCCTGCCCGCCCAGCTCTGCGGTGAGTACGGCAGCCACCCCCCGGCCCCCCGCGTCCTGCCAGGGGACAGGTGCCTGGAGCGGGTCCCCGAGCTGGTTGGGGTGGCCGAGATGTCCCTGAGGAGCGGGGCTGAGGGGGGGGGACACGGACGGGCGCCATCCTGCGCTCCAGCTCCCGGGGAGGATGGTGGCTTCCTGAAACCTCACCAGTGATGAGTTTTCCGGGGCTCAGCTCTCCTCGGTGCCTGCCAGGGTTAAACCTTATTGCTGGGTTGCCTTCCCCTGCCTGGATCCAACCTGCCCTGATCCTGCACCCGCATCCCCCCTGCCCCAAGGTCCTGCGGGGTCCCTGGGGACGGCGGTGCCACCCCAGCACCCTGCCAGCCCCACAGACGTGGTGGGAGGGTGGCCGTGACTGGCCTTTGGGCTCTCCACGCTCCTACTTCATGTCATGTATTTTATTTTGTTTCTTTTATTTTTTTTATTTGAGGGAGGGGGGGCAACACTTGCGATTTTGGGACTTGAGGGAGGGACGCGGGGCGCGCGGCAGGGTTGGGGTGCTGGGTCTCCATCGCAACCGCTGCAAGTACCGTGGGGCTGGGGCGTGGGGTGGGCTCAGCCCCCCCACCCCGTCACCCTCCGCTCCCCCTCCCCGTGTAGAAGCCCCGGGGGAGGCGGCAGCGGCGGCGGTGCGGGTGCTGAGCGCCCGGCTGCTGGGGCTGGCGGCGGACCCGGCGCGGCTCCCTGACCCCAGCGTCTACCTGGCCCTCCGCCTGGCCGGCGAACACGACCCGCGCGAGGAGGAGCGGTACCTGGGGCGGCTGCGGGACGCCTTCCAGCCCCGCTACGGCCGGTAGGTCCCGAGGGGGGACGCCAGGTCCCCCCCCAGGGGCTTGGCCCCTGTCCCCCCCCACACCACGCCGGCAGCCCGCTGACACCGAGTCCCCGCAGGAGCCTGCAGGCAGCCGGCCAGCCCCAGAGGGACGCTGAGGCCACTGAGCACGGCACGTACGTGTGTGTGTGTGTGTGTCCCACGGGGATGGGCCCCCCCCCACCCACGGCACGGTGCGGGCAGCTCTGGCCGGTGGCCGGAGCTGACGCGGTGGCTTGCAGGAGCGCCGAGGCGGCGTGGCCGGAGACGGGGCGGCTGGCGCTGTACCTGCTGGGGCTGCGGGCCACTTGTCCCCCACCGGAGCCCGGTCCCCAGCGCTCACTGGTGACGTGGCTGAAGTATTACCTGGAGGCGGACTGGGCAGGTGAGAGCATCCCCACGTCCGGCCGCGGGGCCACCGGCTCGCCCCGGTGACGCGACACCTCGCCCCTAGGCTCCCGGCGGCATGGCCACCCCCTCACCAGTTACTACCAGTACAGCCTGGGCGTGCTGGCACTCTGCGTCCACCGCAAGCGGGTGCGGGAGGAGGTGATCCGCCGGCTGCTGGAGGCCGAGCACCACGGCAAGTTCGGGCACGCCGGCGGCAGCGCCGTGGGTAAGGGTCCCCGGGGATGGGGAGGGGGGGGTGGCACCCCAGGGCGGGTGTGCGGCAGCGGGGGTGACGCGTGTCCCCGCAGACACGGAGGCGGTGGCAGCGCTGGCCTTCACCTGCCTGGAGCGGGAGCGGCTGGTGGGGGCCAGGCTGGCGGCCGAGCTGCGGGCGGCCACGCGCGGGGCGAGGAGGAGGATGGTTGAGGCGCAGGGTCAGGACGGTTTCTTCGGCAACGTCTACAGCACCCCGTGGGCCATGCAGGTGGGCGTCGCGTGGCGGGGCAGGAGGTGGTGTGGAGGTTTGGGACACGGGGGGGGGGGGGTGGGCACGTGTGTGCAGGACCGGGTGCAAGCTCAGGGTGGGCGCGGGTGCAGATGTGGCCGTGGGTGCTGGCGTGGATGCTCAGCGGCAGCAGCGTGGCGACGCGGCGCGGTGACCCGACCCTGCCTCCCGCCACCTTCCTCCCTCCTGCTCCCAGGTCTTCCTCGCCACCAACGCGTGCCGGACGCAGCCGGCGTACGGCCGGGCCATGGCCGCGCTGCTGGAGAACCTGGGCGCCTTCACCACCGCCGCGACCGTGGCCCAGGCGCTGCCGGTGCTGCACGGCCGCTCGTACCTGGACGTCGCCTCCACGCGCTGCCGGGAGGAGCCGGGTAGGAGCCGGGGCAGCGCGGGGAGATGGGGTTGGTGCCGGTGCCACCGCGGTGGTGGCTTGGTGGCCATCAGCGCCGCGGTGGCTTCCTTCTCGCAGACACGCTGACGCCCGTCGGCCCGGAGCCGCTGCCCGAGATGCCGGGGAACGTGACGGTGCGGCTGGTGGTGGAATGCCCCGAGCCGCGGTGTCCCCAGCGCCGGCTCTACGACCGGCTCGTGCCTGTGCCCGCCGGTGCCTCCCTCCTGGATGTGCTCGGGGCGGCCGCCGCGCAGGGACCCCCCGACTTCACGTACGTGGCCCCGTGTGTCAGGGACCCTCTGGGTGTCACGCCCGGGGTGGCCACGTGCCCTGCACCCATACCACGGGCTCACCCCGGCCCTCACCACCGGCAGTGCCGGGGTCGGACCCTCACCCCCGTTTCCCACCCGCCAGGTTTGCCACCCAGGACACCCCCCAGGGCCCCTTCCTGAGTGGGGTGCTGGGGCTGGAGGCCCAGCAGCGCAAGCGGAGCTACTGGCAGCTCCTCACCGCCCCCAGCACCAACCTGCAGATGGGTGAGTGAAGGGTGGGGGTCCCAGGGGAGGCAGTGGGGGTCCTGGGCAGCCTCCACGGCTGCTCTCCCACCCGGGGCCGCTGTCCCTCTCTCCGCAGGTATCGCCGACTACAGACCTCATGATGGGGAGACCCTCATCCTGCGCCTGAGCGAGTGGTAGAGGGTGTGGGGGAGCGATGGCAATAAAACGCCTGCCTCGGGTGCAGGACCTGCCGGCTCCCTGCCTCCCGTGTGCCAGCACCCCAAATCTGCCCGGGGTGGGGGGTGGCGGGGGGGGGGGCCACACGATGCCCCGTGTCCTGTGGGCACGGTGGGATGGGAAGACCCAGACCAGCAGCTCCTCTGGTCGTGGTTCCACTCAGGGCTGGGGCAGGCAGCAGCTGGGTTTGGGGTGCCCGAAGCGGCCGTTTTTTGGGGTGTCCAAGCCAGCGCTGCTCGTTGCCAGCAAGCTGGCAGCCGGGCTGTCCTCCCTACACCCCCTGAGGGGGACCCCCGGCCGTCCCCATTGAGCCCCCGCCTCCCCCAAGGGCTCGGGGGACTGCGCTCGTGGGGGGACCTCCCGGCCGTGCCCCAAACCTGCGTGATCCTCCCCCGGGATTTAATCCAACACCGCCCCCCACCTCAAAAAAAAAAAAACACCTAAGGGCAGCGGGCAGCGAACGGAGGCGGTGTCTGGGGCGCCGGTGCGGTTTGGGGTCGGGGTGCCAAGAGCGGGGCGGGTGGTGGGGCGCGATGGCGCCTGCACCACCGCCCGGTGTGAGTCAGCCGGGGGGGGCTCTGACGTAGGCCCCACCGCCGCCGTCGCCATGGAGGCCTGCCCGGGCCGCGGCGGCGGGGATGCTCGGCCGCCGGTTCCCCGCAGGCCGGGCTGCGGCGGGCGGGCGGGCGGGCGGCATCCCCCGGGGCGTGAGCCCCCCGCGCACCCCCCAGTCCCCGCACAGGCGGCCGTGACGCGGCCCGGCGGTGGCCCGGCGGGGAGGAGCCTCCTTCTCTCCGCTCCCCGCCATCGCCAAACTTTCCGCTCGCTCCACGGCCGCCGGCGCTGCCTCCCCTCGCACATGGCACCCGCGCCGCGGGGCTGAGCCCTGCCACCCCCCCACCCCCCCCCCAAAAACCCCCGGAGCCGGGGTCCCGCTGCCGCCATCCCCACCGCCATCCCCACCGCCATCCCCGGGGCCGGCGGCTTTTGGCACGGCGCGGGAGGACGGGGCAGAGCGGCGAGTGGCGGCGGGAGGGAGCGGAGCCGGTGCCCATGTGCCTGCGGTCCCGGCGGGGCGATGAAGCAGCGATGACGGCCACCGAGGCGACCCTCCGACCCTGGAAACCTGACCCGGGGCAGGCGGAGGGGGGTCGGCCACCCCCGGGGCCGTCGCTGCCCCTGACCCTCACCGTCCTGGCCTGGCTGGGCACCGGCACCACCATGGCCGGCCTCAACAAATGGATTTTCGCCATCCACGGCTTCCGCTACCCGCTGCTGCTGTCGTCCCTCCACATGCTGTCGGGGGTGGCCGTGGGGTACCCGCTGGGCTGGGCGCGGGGACCACCGTCGCCGCCGGCCCCCCGGCCCCGCGCCAGGATCTACCTGCTCAGCCTCACCTTCAGCACCAGCGTGGCGTTGGGCAACCTGGGCTTGAGCTCCGTGCAGCTGGACGTGGCGCAGGCGGTGGCCACCACCACCCCGCTGGTCACCCTCCTGCTGTCGGGGCTGCTGGGGGGCCGGCGGCACCACCCGCTGCAGTACGCCGCCCTGGGGCCCGTCTGCGCCGGGGCCGCTTGCAGCATCGCCGGCGGGCTCCGCTTCCACCAGCCCGGCTGCGGCTTCCTCCTGGCCGCCACCGTCCTCCGCGCCCTCAAGTCCATCCAGCAGAGTAAGTGCCACCACCCGCTTGTCCCCGTCCCGCATGCCCACCATCCCTCCCCTGCCACGGCCCCTGGGGTGCTGCGGGGAGGGGGGGCGGGGGGCTGCCGTCACCCCGGTGCCACCCCGGTGCCACCCCGGTGCTGGTGATGCTCCCGGCTCACGCTGGCACCGCTGCCGCTCCGTTGCCACCCCAACCCTTCGTGGCGCTCTGGTCTCCAGGGCCGCCCTGGTCCCAGTGCCAACCCTCCCATCCCAGTCCCAGTGCCACCCGCAGCCCCCCTTGGACGTGGTGCCACCCCAATCCCCGGGCCACCCATTGCCTCCCTGGCCCTGGTGTCACTTGCTGCCCACCCTGTCCCTGGTGCCACCCCAGTGTCACCCAATGCCACCCTGTCCCTGGTGTCACCCCAGTGTCACCCAATGCCACCCTCTGCCCACCCTGTCCCTGGTGCCACCGCAGTGTCACCCAATGCCACCCTCTGCCCACCCTGTCCCTGGTGTCACCCCAGTGTCACCCAATGCCACCCTCTGCCCACCCTGTCCCTGGTGCCACCCCAGTGTCACCCAATGCCACCCTGTCCCTGGTGCCACCCCAGTGTCACCCTCGCCCACCCCGCTGCCTCCCCTCAGGGCTGTGCCACAATCTGCGCCCCGAGGCGATGTGACCCCGCTTTGTCGGTGACAAGCGAACACGCCGGTGTCCCTGCGCTGGCCCACGGGCACTGCTGGCTCCCAGTGACACCGGCCCACGTCCGGGGGCTGTGTGTGTGTGTGGGGGGTGGTGGCAGTGCCTTGGTCTGGGACAGGGACACCCAGGCTGCCCCACACCCGTGGGTTCCCCTGCCAGCGCTGCGGGGCAGCCGCGGTGCCACCCGGGCCGCGATGTCCTTGGCAGGCGGTGGAGAGGAGCCGGCGGGGTTGTTTTTCGGGCGGGAGGGGAGCGTTTCCTCCGGAGCTGGTGACTCAGGCGGGCACCGCGGGGCGGCGGGGGGGGGGAACAGGCTCTGGCGTGGGGCCGAGCACCGGGCACACACTCCATGCTGTCCCCAGGGCCCCCCACGCCAGTGGCTCTACTGGGGTGCTCGAGGGACATCATCGCCCACCCTGGTCACCTCATCGCTGGTGGGATGCAGAGGGTGGCCCCGGGGAGGATGGGGGCTGCTCCGTTCCCCCCCGGGGACACGGCACGTGCACCCCCCTGCCCCGTGCATGCCTGTGCGTGGCAGCCAGCCATGTGCCCGCTGTCCCCCGATGACTCGGAGGGGGACGCAGAAGGGACAGGCCACATGCCCAGAAATGTGGCTGCCAGCTGCAAAATTAGCTAAAGAAAAAAAGAGGATGGGGCGGGGTGGAAGCCACATTTGCTCCAAAACGGGGTGCGAAAAGCGCCCTGTCCCCCTGTCCAACCCTGCCCCGCGGTGCCCTGGACCCCCGAACCAGGGCACCCCCCAAACCAGGGCACCCCCCAAACCAGGACACCCCCCAAAGCAAGGCACCCCCCACCTCCATTTCCCCTTCCTGGTGACGTTTGGGGTTTCTTAACTGCTTGGGCACCGGGCGAGGGCTTGTGCGGGTGGGTGACCCGGCGGGTGCTGGGTGTCCCCGCTGGGATGACCCCGGGGGGGTCCTGCTGACTGTGTCGTGTCCCCCCCCCCGCTCCCCCCCCAGGTCTGCTGCTGCAGGAGGACCGGCTGGACGCCCTCTCCCTGCTCTGCCTGACCTCCCTGCCCAGTTTCTGCCTGCTCTTCGGGGCGGCCGTGGCGCTGGAGGTGGGTCCCTCCTGGGAGGACGTCCTGCGCTACGACAGCACCCTCTGGGCCTGCGTCCTGCTCAGCTGCCTGGCCTCCGTCCTCTACAACCTGGCCACCTTCTGCGTCCTCTCCCTCACCTCCGCCCTCACCGTCCACGTCCTGGGCAACGTCACCGTGGTGGGCAACCTGCTGCTCTCCCGCCTCCTCTTCGGCAGCCACCTGAGTGGGCTCAGCTACCTGGGCATCGGGCTGACGCTGGCCGGGATGTTCATGTACCACCAGCCGGACCTCATCGCTGCGCGCTGGGCGGCACGGCCGGGCCGTGGCCCCCCCCGCCGGGATTAGGGTCCCCCCCCGGGGTCAGGGGGTGCACGGGAAGCCCGGGGGGGGGGGGGGGGGCTGCGGGGTGTGGGTGAGCACAGCTCTAGGGGGGGCACACGTGTGCCGGCGCGCGTGGCCCTGCGTGCACACGCGTGTCCATGTGTATGGTTTCTGGGCGCACAGGTGTTTTCGGGTGTGCCCAGCCCCGTACGTGCGTGTGCCGGTTCGCACCGCTCCGCGTGCGCACGGGCGCTGGGTTGCACGGCCCCGCGTGCTGGCGTGCACGAGCTCGCTGTGCACACGTGTTGTGCGCGCCGCCCCGCGCACGTCCGTGTGCCGCCGTGCACGGCGCTCCGTGCGCGCGCGCGCGCGTGGCGGGGCGTGCGCAGCTCTCTGCACGCGCGCGTGCTGATGTGCGCAGGCTCTGCGTGTGCAAGCGGGTCTGTGTGCGCGGCCCGGTGTGCGTGTGAGCGTGTCTGGGTGCGCACAGGCTCCGCATGCGTGAGTGGGTCTCTGCGTGGGGCTCTGCGTGCATGGGGGCACGTGTGTGCTGGTGTGTGCAGGCTCCGCGTGTGCAAGCAGGTCTCATGCGTGCGGGCATGTGTGTGTTGGTACAGACCCTGCGCGTCTGTGTGCACAGCTCGGTGTGCACGTGGGCATGCACGTGCTGGTGTGCGCCGGTTCTGTGTGTGCAAGTGTGTGGCCGTGTGTGCAGAGCCTCGTGTTTCGCTGTGCACAGGCTCTGCGTGTGCAAGCAGACGTCACGCGTGGGGGGCGGGTGCGTGCTGCTGCCCACAGGTACTGCGTGCGCGAGCGTGTCTGTGCAGAGCCCGATGTGCGAGCGTGCACAGGTGTGTTGGCGTACACAGCCTCTGCCTGCATGCGTGCGCAGGTTCTGGGCGTGCAAGTGCACCTCCAGATGTGCACAGCTCTGTGTGTGTGTGGGGGGGGGGGGGCTGACGGGTACCGGTGTGCACGCAGGCTCCGTGCAGGGGAGCAGGTACCTGTGTGCATGTGCAGCTCCGTGCACCGGCCCTGCACACGTGTCCCCGTGTGTGTGCACCGGCCCTGCACGTGTGTCCCCGTGTGTGTGCACCGGCCCTGCACACGTGTCCCCGTGTGTGTGCACCGGCCCTGCACGTGTGTCCCCATGTGTGTGCACCGGCCCTGCACACGTGTCCCTGTGTGTGTGCACCGGCCCTGCACGTGTGTCCCCGTGTGTGTGCACCGGCCCTGCACACGTGTCCCCGTGTGTGTGCACCGGCTCTGCACGTGTGTCCCCGTGTGTGTGCACCGGCCCTGCACGCGTGTCCCCGTGTGTGTGCACCGGCCCTGCACGTGTGTCCCTGTGTGTGTGCACCGGCCCTGCACACGTGTCCCCGTGTGCACGCGCAGGCTGGGCACGCTCGGGGACGTGCCTGTGGATACAGGACTCTGCGCATCCGACCGCTGTCCCGCCTGGGGAAACACAGCAGCGTGCGTGCGTGCGTGCGTGCGTGTGTGTACGTGCACACGTGAGCGTGTTTGCACGTGTGTGTGCGCCACTACTGAGCTCTGCTGGCTGGAGTAAACCCGGGGCTGCACATACGCAGTTCTCGAGGCTGAAACGTCCAAGGGCAGGGCGGGTGAGTGTCCCCTCTCCTGTCCCCAACCCCACCGTGTCGTGCCGATCCTACAGGGATCCCCTGTGGTGGTGCCGGTGTTGTCCTTGTCCCCGCTCTGCCCTCCCGGCCGCCACGGCCCCGGCCCCATCCCTCCCAGCTTCCCGTGGCTGGAGCTGGCAGGTGCGGGCACGGCTGCCTGCCCGTCCTCGGCGCTCCGTTGCAGAGATGGCGAGAGCCCAGCAAAGGGGACGGGGGCAGCTCAGACCCCCCCCCTCTCTCCCTGCCATCACCCTGGGACGGTGCTGGGATGCGGCAGGGCACACGCTCGCCTTGGCAAAGGGACCGTCTCGGCGTGCGAACGCCCCGGCACCGCCGCCGGCACCCACGTGCGGGCACACGGCGTCCGTGGTGGCTGCTGCCGCGCTCACCGCCGCCGCGCCGGGGCCGAAGGACCCAGCTCGGATTGCACTTGTCCCGAAATAAAGCTCTATTTTTGTCGTACTCCACCCTTGGCTCCCGGGGTAATCTCCCACCCGAAGCGCACGCCGGCATCGTGGCAGGAAGGGAGGAACCTCCCGGTGCGGCCTTGGGAAACTGAGGCATGGAAATGCCTCGGGAAGCCCCAGCTCCACCGTGCCCACTGCGCCCGGCGTCTCCATGCCCTGGTGGAGGGGAAGCCGTGGTTTAGCACCCCCAGGGCTGGCAGCGGGACCCTTGTGCAGGGACACGGAAGGGACGCGGTGACGGGGAGAGGAGTCACTGGTTGCACGCGTCCAGGGAAGGGCCAGTCCTGCTGGGATCCGGCACTGTCTGTGGCTTTGCCCTGCCCTGGGGCAGCGTTCCGCTGGGGAGCATCCTGTCCCCCCCGCCGGCGTCATCCGTCTGGTCCTTCTCCAGCCCTGTGACTCACCTCACCCTGCCAGCACAACCCGCTCCCCCCTGGAAACTCCCTGTTTGCTCACGCCCTCTTTCCCAAACAGCAAGTTTTTTCCCCACTCGTCGGTTGGGGTGGCAAGTTTCGAGGCCATTTCCAGAAGCGTCCCGGGAGCGGCTCCTTCCCCAGCGAGCGGTGAAGGCAGGGCAGCTCGCCGGGCTGCTCCAGTGTGCCCACCACCAGTGCCACCTCCGCTGGGGTGCCCCGGGGCCGCGGCTGGAGCAGCGCCCGTCCCACAAAGGACTCGAAGGGCCCTGAGTTATCGGCAAACGGCCCCAAGCTCGGGCCAAGAGCGCGGCAGCTTGTTTGTTTGCTTTCTGGGCTCGCATTTCAGAGGCTTTTCCATGACGGGAGGGCTAAAAGTCGTTTTGGTTTTCCGCTTCCCTTTCAAAAGGCGAGTCCCGGCGTGGCCCCAGGGATGGGGCTGGGGAAAAGTCCCTTCCCGATCGTTCCTAGGACCTCCCAGCGGCACTGTCCCCTGCCAGGGGACTGGGCGTGGGGGGGGGGTCCCGTGGGTGGCATTTGTGCTGGGGCTTTGATGCTGCCCGTGAAGGGCCTGGCAGCGGTGGGTGGGCTGGCCTGGTGCGGTGGCCCTCTCTCTCTGGGTATTTCAGGCCATGATCTCAGCCCGGTGGCATCCCTCCGCTCCGGCCACTCCTTTGCTCCGGCCGCGGGAAGGATTTTGGGTTTCCCACGGGGCTGGTGGCCGCTGCCCATGGGCCGGGACCGGCACTGCTCCGGCTAAGCCGGACGAGGGGAAGGCAGCCCAGCCCCGGGTGCTTTGCGGCTGGGGGAGCAGATTGGGACACCTCTGCTCCGAGGCGGATGCCTTTCTGGAGAGCGGCACGGGGTGCAAGTCCCAGCAGGAGCAGTGAAGGGTGGGGACAGCCCTCACGTGGGCATGTGTGTCCCCGTGCCTCGGCCTCCTGGCAGGCAGCAGCTTCCCAGTCCCTGCTGGGGTCCATTTCACTCGCCAGCCCTGGCTCCCTGGGCCCGGTTTAGGCGTGGCGAGGGTGCTGAGGTGGGTTATTGCCCCGGTCTAAGGACCACGAATCCACCTCTGAAGCTCCTGCAGCTCTTGTGCCCCCAAATGTGGGGAGCCTTTCCTTGCCCGTGCACCTCTCCACAGCCCCTGCCAAGCATCTTCTGGGTTTTCACCTCTTTTTAAATAACACCCAACCGCAGGCAGGCTGGGGCACCGCCCTGCCGGGGTTCATTAACCTTTTGGTCCGATCTATGGTATTTTAAAAAAAAAATCGCTTTAATTTGGCTACCAACCTGACAAATCCCATATCTGCACTGAAGTGCGTGCATGCATACACACACAGACAGAGAAAAAAAAAAAAACACCAAAAAGCATATGTGCCCACATAGGCACATGCTCACACAGAATTTCTGCTCAGACATTTGTCAGGGTTCACTGAGAGCCAAGGCATTAGTACACAGTATACTCTTCCACACCTTCCACGGTACTGGAGAGAAAAGCAAATGCCTTAATTCAGGCTCATTCTTCTCCATGCCCCTACCTCCACGTCACAGCCACCTTCTGCTTTGCTCAGTGCTTAAAAGCCCTCGCTGGGGTTAACCATGTAGCAGGCACCCAGCACACATCACCTCATCTTCCCACACAGGCACTGCCGTCGGGTTTCTGTGCTCCCTCTCCTGAAATGCATGGACAGGATGGAAGGTGCAAGGAGGGGTGGCAGCGCTGACACCAGTGAGAGGTGGCAGCAAGGATGGGTGGCACCTCCATGTACCCGGTCCCACCATGCTGGAGGTGGTGGCTGGCAAGGAGCTCCAGGCGAAGCATGAAGGGCCGAGGTGGGAGAAATAAATGCGTGTCCGGTGGGATAGCGTCGTTATGAGATCTGGCTGGACAGTTTCCTCCGGATCTGCTGCTAAACCGCTGCTGAAATCATCCTCTGAGGTGGGGACTGAGCTGTGAGCTGCTGCCCTTGGTGGAGGAGCAGCATGTCTCCATGCAAGGGAGAGGAGACCCAGGGTGGCTTAACTGTGTGCCAGCTGTGTGCCTGGGAGCACACGATGGAAATTTTCTGTGTTTTAGGACAGGGGATTAACTGCTGCCCTTGGGGATGACGGGAGACTTACTGCATTAACACAGAGGGACGCGGGATCTGCAGCTGGGAGGCAGCAAGGACAAACACTTGCTAAGCTGGGGAGCCTAAGCCAGTCAGTGATATCTTTCCCTCATATGCCGGGCTGTGGTCTTAAACCTACCACAACACAGTCCTCAAACGGTGTCAGGGACCATGCTGGCTCTGGCTCTGGAATGATGGCAAAGCCTTTTTTGGGGTAGACATTAAGAAAAATGCATTCAGCCTGGCAGAACAGCCTGGCACACAAGGCGTGCAATGTCCAGCAGTGACAAGCAATATCTGAGGATGCTTGAAGCAGCCCAAGCACGGCTGGAGGCCAGGAGATGGAGAGGGTGACCCTTCAGACTCCCTTCCAGCCCCGTGTTCTCTGCCTCAGCACCCAAAAAACCCCTCCAGAATTTGCTCTCAACCATTTTGGGGCAGGTTGGATTTACTGGTGACTTTACTGCTCACTGTCTCTATGGCACGGGCTCACTGCTCTGCCCCAAGAAGGCAGCTGACTGCCTGTAGCTGAGTTTCTAAAAGATGAAATCACATGAGCTTAAAGGCATTTTTAAAGTCATACACTTTGTCTTTGTAATATAACTACATCATAAAGTAGGGGTCTAAGATACAAATGTTAAAGGCAGTTATAATACTGTGCTAATTATTGTATGCATAACATAAGACCACTCTATAAAAACTTAAGTGAGCCACAGGCTGTTGTGAAACAGAGCTGGTGCCTTAGAGGCACCCTAAGCCAGAACGAGAGCTTGGTTCAGTGGTTTGGGTGTCGGGTGCAGGTGTGTCACCTGGGTTCTGATGGCTGTGAAGAAAGAGATGTTCAGGAAAGAGCTGGCAGCAGCATCACCGCACTCCCTCCTCCCATTGCTCTTGAGAGCTGCATTCGACCTGAGATGCTCACCTTGGCTGCTACGCCGCAGCTGCAGCTGTGCGGCTGTGTACCCCGCTGAGCTGGGTCTGGATTCCCACCCAACCTCCCAGCTTGGCCTTGGACCTGCCTCATCGCCACGGACCTGCCAGGCAGTCAGGACTCCCGCTCCGACGAGCCTCCATCCACCTCCAGTTACGCAAAGCCCTGGTCTCCCTCCCTTGGACAGCGGGTGCCTGCGCCTGGGACCCAGCCAGTGGTGCCCTCCACGGCCGGCGCACAAGAGCCAGACATCTGCAGGCCCTGCGAAGGCTTGCGGCACCGTTGTCCTCCGTGGGGAAAGCTGGTGTTCAGCTGCAAAGCTGGAGTAGAGAGGGGTGGGCGATGACTCTACAGACACCAACTGCACCCTCCTCTGGTCAGAGATCCAGTCCGAGAAGCAGCGAGGCCCCAGGTGGTCGCACAGCACACAGGGCTCCTCAAGAGCTCTGCCATGTCTCCGATGCTCTCTGTGACACCCATGCACCCAACCAGCTCGTTCTGTCCCTTTAACGTCTCTGTTTTCCAGAAGGAACGTCTTACACGTCCACGAGGAGTCAGGTCTTTGCTCCGATTCTCGAAGGTGCCTGGGGAGAAAAGTAATACGCTCAAAAGGACGGGCGGGCCCGTTGTCACCCACCACAGCTATGACTTGAGCTGCTTTGAGACCTGCAGAGAGCTAGCTTGCCAGGTTGCTCTTTGCAGGTGTGGAGGAGCAGTCCCAAAGTGCCGTTGGTTGGAGATATACAATCACAGAATCACAGAATCATCGGGCTTGGAAAAGACCTTTAAGTTCATCATGTCCAACCATTAACGCAGCACTGCCAAGCCCACACCACTAAACCATGTCTCTAATTGCTATGTCTACGTGTCTTTTAAATACCTCCAGCGATGGTGATTCAACCTCTTCCCTGGGCAGCCTGTTCAATCAGCTTGACCATCTTTTTGGTGAAGAAATTTTTCCTAATATCCGAACTAAACCTCTCCTGGTGCAACTTGAGGCCGTTTCCTCTTGTTCTATCACTTGTTACCTGGGAAAAAAGACCAACCCCCACCTCGCTACAACCCCTCCCACCAGCTGGGCCTGTAGGACCCCCTCATGCTGACTCATGGGCTGTAGGACCCTTCAAACACACATGCCAGCCTGGGGCCCCCTACTCCCACCCCAAACGGGTCTGTTATTGCGACTTAGGACAGAGCTAACGGAACTGAAAACTTCACGCTGTGATAAACCAGAATTAATACATGGTTCGCTGCTGAGCGATGCCAAAGTGTGCCCAGATCAGGCTTCTAGTTTACAACAACGTGAAGACCTCAGCACAGTCATTCAGACTGACAGCAGACTTCCTCTTGTGACTCCCATCTTGACTTCCCAGCCCACCACGAGTAAATTGAGTTCTTTCTGAGCAGTGAGCAGCTCACCCAAAAAACTATGGATCTCCCAACGGAGGCCAAGGGACCTTCTGAAAAGGGATTGGGACAATCAGGTGGGGAAAGAGAAGGGGTCAGATAGGGGACAGCAGGACATCCTTGGGTCTCTCCCAGCTGGGGATGCTGGAGTCTGTGCTGTTCCTGTCCTCTCTGGATTGCAGTAGATGACTGGACTCTCTCAAAACCCAAAGTTACATCCCAGTTAGGAAAAACAAACGCTGGTAACGCTCCAAATATCCTGACTCACAGCTAGTTTCTGTCCTGTATTATAAGCACAGTTTGTGCTGGACTAAAACAACACTCTAAACACGTGATGGTTTCAGAGTTACTGTCAGGATGCCGGCACAAATGATGTGTGAAAACTAACTGCATAGCTTAAACTGTGTTGATTTTATTTATAGTAAACCCCACTACTTGCTGGTTGGATCACAAAACCCCTGTACGTTCAGCGGCAGAGACTTCATCCTCCAACCCCCTTAGATGAGAAGACTATTTTCAATGCTTTGGGGTGGATCTGGAAGAACTGCCATTGGCTTTCCCTTGGTTTCTTGCCAAGATGTCACAACAGCTCGTTTGTACTCAGAGCAGCAGCATTACTCTTACTTCATTTTCATAAACATCGGGTATCATTCCTGACGCAGAGCTGATCATTCAGAGCCTGTTGACGCCGAAGAGTTTGTACTCGTGGTGGATGAGCTGCTGCCAGAAGCTGTTGTTGGGTATTACGATGGGACGGCAGGACTTGACCCAGGTGTAGAGTGCCCTCCAGGGACATGGAGCGGTGCTTCTGGAGATAAGCCAAGCAGATGGTGGGGACCTGCTCACCCCAGCAGCGCAGTGCAGCCGCGTCCGACCCGACGCATCCCCACGCCGAGGAGCTTAGCTGCCATGGAGTCGAAACAGCTGGAGATGGGGGTGGCAGGGGTGTCCCTCACAGGGATGTGCAGGTACTCGAGGCTGGGGCAGAGGGTGTTCACCACCTCCAAGGAGACGCTGATGATGGTGCTGATGCGGTGCCTGAAGAGCAGGAGGTGGCTGTTGGTGGCCACCGCGTCACCGAGGTAGAGGCTGGAGGTGATCCGGGGTGGTAGGGCAGGGCCAGGAGGGCTCCCAGAGCCGCCGCCAGCGGGGTGCACGGGTGGTACCTAGAAATATATGTAGACATACACCCAGTCCTGTCCCCCTCCATGACAACCCCGGGGGGTCAGGGAGCGGCCGCGGGGCCGGGCCGGGCCCCCCATGGCAACCGCCGCCGCACACAGAGCGGGAGAAGGTGACTCTCCACCCTCTCCTCCCCACCCCTCCAGGCCCTGCCGGCACTGCCCCCCCGGGATGGGGGTTCACAGTCCCCTCCAGCACAAGGGGAGGGTTTGCCCTGTGTTTGGCTGTGGGTGGACGTGCCTCGGAAAAGCGAAGGGAGATCCCCCCTCCTCTGAAGAGGTCAGCAGAGAGACCCACAGGGGACACGAGGCTGAAGGAACATCTCGTGCGAATGCTCAGGTCTCAGTTCTTCAGAGTCCTTAAACCATCGCTTAAGTCTTCAGCCTTTAGGTCTTCAGCCTGCTGGGTGGGGATGTGGGTGCCAGGGCTCTCCCCAGGGGAGCGGGAAGCAAATGGTCAGGGCAGGCGTTGCCTCTGACGTGAATGGTTGCACCTCCATCCCGACCTCGGGACAGAGATGCCATACCCTATCTGACTGTGTTTTGGGAAGGTAAGCTATAAGCATCGTTGGCCATGGACTTAACCTGACTTAGATGTTGTTCCTACAATATCTAAGAAGACCATAGGTAAATTATTAGAAATGGGTGAAATGCTGACATGTCACCTCCCAGCAGTGGGGGCTAGGCGAAGGTTTTGCAATGTTCAGCAGCCCAATCCCGCTTTTAGTGCCACTTTGAGTCCAGCAGTAACGGATGTATTAGCAACAGCGGGTGAGAGTCTCTCCTGAGGGAATGCACAAGATGCCTGGTTGAGTCTATAAGCTCAGAATTGGGATTTAGGGTGGCATTAGACATACCTGGACTTTCACGTACCGAATAGTTCCCCTCAGCTCGCCTCTCTGCTCCTGGGCAGCCAGGCGTTTTGTCCTCAGTACCCAGCCAGCACCACCTGAATCTTCTCCCCTCACCTTACTGCAGGTATGCCAAGGAATTTTACCTTCCTGCTTTGGTCAGAAAACCCAAGCATCAGGATTTCAGCAGTCTGTCAGTTTAAAGCAAAGTTTTATAACACGAGGCTGCAAAGTCCCCCCCCTTGACTGTTTGGGGCAGAACTGTAGGGTCCTGCCCAGGGTTTGGCTCTGCATGGGAGTCAGCCTGCCTAAGCAATAAGCTGTGCAGCCCCATAGCAGTTAGTAGTGAGAACAGGGGAAAAAAAAATGACCCGGCTTCACCTCTCAGGTGAGGTTTGTTTAAAACAGAAGCCTAATAGAGAAATTAATGTCTGATGGTTTCAGTTGCCAGCATCTCTCACTAAAGTCTGTACTTGAGACATGAAGTAGTGATGTTAACAGTTCCTGACCAAAGGTTTCTTTCTGCTGTCATGGGGATGACAGCCTTGCGAGGCAGCGCTGAGGCATCTTCTCCTCGGTTTGCTGTTCCTTAATCCCTTAACTCAGTGGACTGACAGCAACCTCTAGGTATCTGTGTGCTGAGGAGGTCCTCCTGGCCTGCAAACATCAGCAACCTGCGAGTTTCAGGACCTCAGGGCAGCTGTGAGTGAATTAAGCTCTAGTCTACAACCGAGCTCCGAGCAGTGCTGTGACTCCCGGTTTGGTCCCGCAGCGCAGGCGTGCCCCGGGTTTGTGCCGCAGGCACACACAGGTTTCTGTTCACAATCAGGAGACCCAGGGAGGTGCAAACCCTTCGTGGCTGGAGAGACTGCATGCCTGCAAGCATGGAAACCGGTGCCACACCTGTGGTGTGCGGGTGACATGAAGCTTATTAGCTTGCCCAGTAAATTCCTGTCGAGAGCCCGCTCAAACTGTATGACCACATTGCTGTTGGCTGGTTTTATAATGTGGGCTTTTTGTTATCAGTGTGATGGATTGGGTCTGAGATGCAAGAACGCCCGAGAGTGTGACCACTGTCCTCCAGCCCCACTTCTTACAGTAGTATCAAATGAATTATAGTCAAGGAGGCAGGGTGATTTGAGTAATCTTTTTCAGACCAATGTTTAGAGTGTTACTTATGAATTTTGGAGCTTTTTGCTTGGAGGTCACTTTGACCATAGTGAGGGATGTGGCAGGATGTCTCTCTTCCCAAAGGCAAGCATCACTTTGGAATTCTTTATTTCATGGTTAGGATAGCAGCTGTAAGGTCTTACATCTTTGCTTTTGTAAAGGCAAAACACTTTGAAGAGGCCAAAAAGAAGACCGAACGTTTCCACAAATATTTGAAGCAGCAGTTTTTGAAAGAACAGGAGAGAAAGATGGCATGGAGGAAGAAGGCCTCTGAAAGGTTTGAGAAATCACTGGAAGTGTTCAGTCGCAGAAGTGGGAAGTGGTCTGTCCCTTCCGCTGGTGGTTTGTCTGCGAGTGAAGCGTCGCCCTTGGAACACGCAGCTGCTGCTGATGGAGCAGGGCCCAAGAGACACGCCTAGCGAGCTCCTCCTGCAGGCTGTCCCATGGCTCTGGCCTGTGCCTTGCCAACCTACCTGAATTTTCAGTTTGTCCTTTCAGGAAGCTATTTTTTGGTCCTGGTACAGCAATAAACCAGCACGATGCCTCGCTCTCTCTCGTATGGCTGCCCATTTACCTTTTAAATTGATGAGGCTGCTGTGGTTAGATGGCCATGGGCTGGGGACGATTCAGGGATTTGTGTGGCAGCTGCAGGTGTAAAACATCTCTTCGAAGGTCCGGTTTCCCTTGAGGCAATAGAAAAGTGATGTGACAGGGATAGAGTTTTTTCTCGGTTTGTGCCTTTAGAAATGATTCAAACAACATGTTTCATGGCTAGTTGGATTTCCAGAAATGTTATCAGAGGCTCAGGGAGGGTAAATGAATCTACTGTTGGGGAAAAAGAAAACGGATTGCTGACTTAAGAAGCTTAGCTGAAAAAAATCAGCAAGGAATGGGGTATTGAAAGTGAGTGCCTTGAGGCACTGAAGAAGTGGGTAAGTATCAGCAGCAGATGGAGAAGGTGGTTGTAGGCAAGTAGAACCGACCAAATTTCCTCTTCCCTTTTCTGAAACCAGAGGCATTCAGAGTAACTGCTGAGTGCCCCCCAGTGGGATGGGATACAGATTATTGTGGGAGTGCAGAGCTGGAAAGATTTACATCATCCACTCTGGTCCCTGTAGGGCTGTAGCATTAGGTATATTTTGAAAAATGTTCATCTAACTTGTTTTTAAAAAACTCGCAGCGAAGGAGATGCTAAAGTTTCTGGAGATAGCCTGGTTTTTCAGCCAGCATTACAGTGTTGGGGTTTTAATAACATAAAGCTTCCCTGCTTGAAATGAAGCTGATACTTCTCTGTGTTTCCCAGTGGCCTTGAGGGACTAACTGGGTGTTGGAAGATTGTTTTCACATCCTCAGTTTTTTCTTCACTGGATTAAAAAATGCTCAGTACCTTCAAGCTGTCCTCTTCAAATGGGATTTCTAATGAGAATTTTCCTGACTAATGCAAAAGGCGTACCTCAGACATCAGGACAGCACACCTGGCAAGTTACACTCCAGTGCTCAAAATCTGGCGGCATCGGGCCTCGATGATGAAACACTGCTTCTCAGTTTACTTTAAGACTATTTTTTTAAAGAAACTACAAACTTTTCCCTAACCTCTGGCTCTTGAAAACAGTGAAATCTCTGTGTTTCTTCTTCCCTAGAGCTTTTCTAATAATTCAGCCAGACTCAGACACCTGGCAACATTACACATGATGATAACTAAAAATCTTACATAGGAAGTCCTGACTTTAGTGGCAGTGCTTTCCATCTTCGGGCCATCTTGGCAATAACGGGCCACCTGCTGCAGCTTTGCCTCAGAGGGCTTGCAGCTAGCTGAAGGCACCCTCCAAACTGTCTCCAGAGGGTGCTTCATAGACATGATCCAGGCACTGAAGTGCTCTAGAGGCACGGAATAGAAAATCAGTGTTTGGCACCTGAATTGGCTTCAAACCACAGATCTAGAAAATATTGTTTTTTTCCCGAGTATTTAAGGTGTCTTGTTGTTGTATTTCCTTCTTACACCTGTGTGCATGCCCTGCATACTGTCCTCTCCACGCACAGACCTCACTCATGCACAGCCTGCCTCCACCATGCTGCCACCTGGATCCTGCACCAGACCTTAGTGATGACATCCAGCTGGAAAAATGAAATTACCAGCAGAATTAACTGCCTAGCAGCCCTGCATCTGCAGCTTTTGCCTGCTGTGTCTGTCCGGGAAAATGTGGATCTGTTGTTCACCGTGACAGCTGCTGGGCGGGACAGAGAGTACATGCCTTTGGTCATGCTGGCAGCAGTGACAGACTGATGTCTACATACATCAGTTGGCTTGAGTAGAACTGAAACCCAAGAAGTGATGCATTGAGGTGAAAAACAAGGAAATGCCAAGAAGCAGTAATGCAGTATATTTTTAGAGAGCAGCCTGGAGGTTGTTACCCAGGGGTGACACGTGCTAGCCACTCCCGGGGTTTTCCTTATGGGAAGATACTGTGAGAAAAGGACCAGTTTAAAACAGAGCTGGATTTGATCCAGGCATTCGTGTTACCACGCAACACTTCAGCTATTGTTTGAATATTGCCTGGAGCTCTCGGCTCTGTCATCTGTGAAATGTGCCATCCAGCCAAAAGCGCACCCAGGCTCCTGCAGCCCACGGATTCCAGCTCTCAGCAGTCTGGGCTGCAGCAGACCTGCCCTCCGTGGCCTCTGGGCTCCCCTGTACATGTCTGGTCTCTGCAGCATCCCAGGGCAGTGAGTCTCAGTGTTTAATAATGCAATGTGAAAAAACAGTCCCTTTAGCCTGTTGTAAATCTACAGGCAAATTCACCGTGCACCCCTAGTTCTTGTGTGACAAGCAGCAGTGAATGATTTCTCATTCGCTGCCTCCCCATTTTCTGATTTCAGGGTCTTCGGCTTTGTCCCCCTTCCATCAACCTCCTCTCTGACATGGACAGCGGGCGGTTTCGGCTCGGCTGGGCTGTGCAGCCAGCCCAGGAGCAGTTCATCCCTGTTGCTACAGTAACAGCTGCACCCACCCATCTCCCAAAAAGCACCCCCCCCGTGCATGGGGGGGGTCCCCAAGCAGTGCCTGGCATGCAGCAGCACCCTCTGGGGAGCAGGGGGATGTCCCCCCCGCCGTCTTGCCATGGAAGCAGAGGGGCTGCAGGGCTCTGTCTAACAGTGTTCCTCTGTGCAGAGCTTACAGTGCCGGGGCTCAAGCTCCTCTGAGCACCTCCCTGCCCTCCCCGTGACGGGAGAAGCCAGTCACCAGTTGTCATTTCTCCAGCCCACCAGCTCAGTGCTGCCCGCGATCCCAGTGTCCCCGGGGCAGGAATCAGCCCTTGCACGCAGCAGCCATCCCTGGTGTGAAGAGCACCAGGCGTGGGGCGATGCCTGTCTCCGTTTGCCCTCGCCTACCTCCTCAGCCCCATGGCTTGGAAACCAGTGGAGCTGCTGGAGCCACACTGTTTGCCACGGTGGGCTGTGGGTGTTAGCTGGTTCCTGGCCCTGGCTCTGCAGGGGCTGGGTGCCCGGGCTGATCCAGCCCGGGGTGGGCCAGGCCCACGTGTGTTCCTGCTCAGCAGAGCAAGGACGCAGCCGACATTTGCCCGGGAGCCCGGAGGTTGTGGCTTGCTGCAGACGCGGTATGCAGATGCCGATCAAAATCACACGCTCCGATCTCAATGCCCCCAGCACCCCCAGGAAGATTTTCCTCTCCGAACTGGTCTTATCGCTGCCCACAGCTGACTGCAGAGGGTGCTGCTGGCTGAGCCAGTGTCCCTCTTCACCCATGCTTCTGCCAGCCAGCTCCCAACCTGGTGCTCTCAGGCTTCTTGCATTGCACAGCCAGCTCAGTGCATACAGTCCTCCCCTGTCTTCCCCCTTTTAAAAGTCAGTTTGCTGAGAGTTTATAATAATCCCACTACACCTGTCGCCTCAGCAGACTCCCTACTGTAGGGACTCAGTGGTTGCTCTGTTTAGGTAGAGTGGAGGTGGAGGCAACGGCGGTTTGGTGAGGAAAGGCTCCCCAGGTCCAGTGCTCCACCATGGGGAGCCCCGAGGGGTACTTCTTACTTCTTGAAAGGGAGAGGACTGTTCACCATGGGACAGACTGGTGAGGTTTGTGTTTTCAGCCAGAGCTGTTAGGAATGTGGAGCTGTGTCAGCACAATACTCATCACTGGGAACAGGCAATGCTTGGAGCAGAGGGGGATAGTACTGGCTGCCTGCACCTTCCCCAGGGAAGCCGCTGAAAACAAAGTCATAGGGCAGGTGCCATCCAGGACTGGATGGATTACTAAAGCATCCCAGGGCACCAGCACTGACATATAACCCATGTTTCTCCTCCCCGCAGCTCTGATCTCAGTGTGTAGAAGCAAGCAGACAGGATCTGGGCAGAGATCTGGGCCCTTTCCTCACCTAAGAGGCTCCAAGGAGAGAAGGAGCTGAGACATCCTGGGTTTGCCACACTGTACATAGTGCTCACAGATGCCCTCAGGCAGCATTAAAAGAGGCAGGTGACTCTTGCCTGTAGCCCCATGCAGGCAAGACCTAGTACAATGTGACAGGCAGGTGGGTGCACTTTGGTTCAGTCCCATCACAGGGCAGTACTGCCTGCATTTGGCTTAGCAAGCAGCTCGCTTGCCTGCCCACATGCTCAAGCTTGGGCCACAAATGTAACATTAACAGCGTCTGTTCACTGAATGCTAAATCAGAGGAGCTTGCACTGACCTGGAACAAGCTTTGTAAACCCCCGAGATGAATGTGCAGTTGAAAAGAAATAGCAGCTCCAGCACGCCTCTCCTGAGACCAGCACTGCAGTTTCCCTGGGCTTGTTTTATCTACGTGCTGCATCAATATTATCCTCCACAGCTGCAAGAGGCTGGTAGGAAACATAACCCAAGATGCAAAATGTTAGCTCCTGCCTGCTGGCTGCATGAGTCCCCAGCAGCAGCACTCTTTGCTGCTACTCCTTTGAGATGACTCCTGCACCAGAACTGTCTCAAGACGTGAAGGAGGCAAAAGGGTCACAGTTGCTGCATGTAGCAGCACACGGCTTGTTCCTCAGCATCTCCCCCAGGAAGGGGACAGGGCTGGGTGTCCCGTCTTCTCCTGGAGAGAGGCAGAGTCAGCAGGACCTTGCCCTGGAGCAGATGCTGGCCGCGTAGGAGTGGGCAGCGCTGGAGGTATGCAGGCAAACCAGCACCCCTGCTGAAGGAGAATCCTGTGACAAGTAGGGTGGAAAGGCTGGAAAGCACCGGGATCCCCTGTGGAACCAGCCCTCTCAATTGTGGTGAGAAGGTGCAGGGCAGTCAGCAAACCCCAGGATACAGATCCGTGGTCTTTGCCAACTGTGTGCTGATGGGACCAGCTTCTTTCAGACTGGCTCTGGAGAGCAGAGGGCGAAGTAGGCAGCTGCAGGGCCAGCGATACCTCCCTGCCTGCTCCTGCTGTCCCCATTGCCCTTCAGCGGTCCCCTCTGACTGAGGTCTGTGAAATTGCCACTCCTCATAATTTGCTTTTTGTTTAAATTCCTCCTGGAGGCTGGACACTGCCCCTCTCCAGCTCAGCCAGTTTTTCTGTGCTACCATGTCTGGACAACCAGCTCCACCACTTCATCCCATCAGTACCCCTTGGTGTGACAAGTCTCATGTCCTGTGCGCAGCCAAGGACCACTCTGGGCCCATCTGCCTGGGGGCCACCACAGAAAAAGGAACTACTATCCCCCAAAGTGGAGCTTGGGAAGTCCTGTCATGTTTTAATTAACCTATATTTAGCCCTAAATTAGCTGGTGAGGGAACTAGGGGTTGCAAGTCATAGCTGATCCTGCACGTAGCAAGACTGATATGCTCCCTCCTGCTCTGCCAGGAGAAAAGTACTGAGCAAATGGTTCAACATTGTTATTTTTAATGATGTTCCTAGAGCCATGCTTGAGCCTTTCTGACAGGCTCTGGGGGCCAGAGGAAGTGCGGACTCCTTCCCACTTACTTGCTCACAATATGGAAAAGGGACGCATCATCCCACTGACTACAAGACATGGGAATGAGTGAACACGAGCTGGAGCTGCAGCCAGGCCGTGGACAGGGATCAGTCAGCCCCGCGGGTTGCCCTGGGGCTTGGTGTGGTGCCCGAGCTCCACGTTCCCAGCAGAGCATGATGCAAGGCTTGGCACCGCGCAGTAACCAGCACAATTGCCTCCCGCGAGGGTCTCCTGAGGACACGGCTCCTCGTGCAGAGCTCTGTGCCAGGGTGGCGGCAGCCTGTGAGGTGCTCGCATGCCTCCAGACACAGCCTGCTCCAGATCAGCTGTGGAGCCCAATGCTGAGGGCACCACAGGAGCTCATCGCCTCAGAGCTCCTGGTGTGCAGGGAAGCAGGAGAAGATGCTTTCCATCGCATTGGTGAATCAGTTTCTGCCCACTCTGTAGCTATGCTTTGGCTGCAGCCAGAGCAAGGACAGTGGCAGGAGGGGACTGTCTCTGTAGCGGCACCAGGTTAGGGTACTGTAGCCTGCAGCAAGGCATCGTTGTGTGCTTCTGCTCTTTTGGCATCATTTCACAGTCAGTTTTAACTGGCATAATCCATCCTCCTCCCTCCTGTCCCTTCCCTTGTCCCACGCATGGGTGGGTGGCAGCAGCAATAGGGAAATGATGTGGGCAAACCCAAGCTGGCATGGATCGTGGCCTTCCAAGCTGACCGTCCGCGCCTGCCTGCTCCCATGCACTGTGCTTTGCTTCCCTTGGCTGCAGTGGCGAGGGGCTCAGCGTCTGGAGAGTGGTTCCAATGGGGAGTGAAAGCCCAGGTGGGTCCAGGAAGGTCTTTGCTGTTCAGCTGTTTAGCCACAAGGCCTTTGTGTCTGAACACAGCTGGACAGGACAGCGTGCCTGGGCTGTACCCTCATGCAGGGTCTCTCGGCTCTCCCCTCCCTGCTCAGACATACCCCCCACCACTCCTCTGTCCACATATTTTGGATTCTTGGGCACCTCTGGCTCAGGGCAGTGATGCAGGCTGGTGAGTTTGGATGCAGCAAATTGTTTCAGGATGGATCTGAGGTTTTTCTACATCCTGGATGAGGTGGGATTGACGCAGGTTCGGTGATGTTTCACTTGGCTCCCAAATTGACCTGGTTTCCTTCCTGGCAGAAGAGCTGCTGCCGGCCCGGAGCGGTGCGTGAAGCTGCAGGACGAGTCAGGCTGCTCTGGGCATGTGTCATCACCCCCATCTCCACCTGCAACATGGGGATGACTCTAATTACCCAAATCCAGGAGGGAGTGGCAGTGATCAACAGGCCCTGCCTACTTTAGAGGAGGTTTGGATATGACCCACCACTCCACCTTTTCCATCCTTTCTCCATGAAAGTCCCACGGGGCCTTCTGTCCCTTCAGGCAAGCCGTGTACACAGGGGCACAGGGGACTCCGCTGACAGTCACTAGGCAGTTGATCCCATGGCCGGATCATGGCTGTAAGGAAACCCGAATCTGCATTTCCTGGAGAGTGGTGGCTCATTTCAAACGAAGCAAGCAAGACGCTCCTCAACTTTGGGAAGAAAAAGACACGATTTCCAAGACAGATTTGATTGTCAAAATGTCTGCGGGGCAAGTGGCAGCCTTTCATGGGGGTCAGGGTTCAGCCCTGAAGTCCTTGTCAGGAAAAGCAGCAGCTCTCCATGTCTCAAGGGCTGCTCCTCTGCGCTGTGGTGACTGCTGTGAGGGAAACACCCAACTGACGGCACATCGCCTTCGCAGTCTTATGGCTCCACTGCGCTTAAATCCCATGTCTCCCGACCACCCTGCAGCCAGGACATCAGGGATCTGCTGGATCCGGATCCAGTGTGATCACAAGATCCCTTCTGCCAAACCAGAGCACAGGAAGGTGTTTCTGGACAGCTCGGTGCTGTTGTTGGAGGCTGAGGGACAGCCTGTCCCAGACCTGCAGTTCCAGCCATCCCTCCTTCCTACGGCAGGCTGGGCATGTCCCAGCTTAGGGTTTGTGCTGGTGGCTGCAGTGTTTTGGCCACGCTGCCCCACGGGTGCCACAGCCACCATGTCGCTGCTTCACGCTCGCTCCTGCGTCCGAGGAGAGAGCTGGCATCGCCCGGAGCCCAGGCGGGCGCCCGGCATTTTGCCAAGTTTCCTGCTGGAAACCGAATCCCTCCTCTCCCTGAATGCATCCTTCTCACTGACCGCACAGCGCGGCCAGGGCAGGGCTTGTGCTCAGCTTTCAACGGCCAGCGTGTTCTTTGCAGACGTCGCTAATTCATGGGTAACCAACTAATTGGGCATGTGAGGCATCAGCATTTTAATCACCCGGAGTTTATTAGCATTTTCATGGTCCTGAATACAGAGTCCTATAAAATCAGTCTTCTTTAATAGTACTGTTAGGGTAATTTCTTGGTTGCTGGTGTTCTGACATTTCAAATCCCTGCCAGGCTCTGTTCTGCCTGATTTAATACCACAACACGGTCGAAATTCCGCCACTCCCCGCTCCGGGTCCGCGCCCGCCAAGATGGCGACCCACCCCTTTGCGGCAGCTCGCCTCCGCTGCAGGCCTCATTGGACAACGGCGCTGCCCATCAAGCGATCGGCAACGCCGAGGTGGAGGGGTGGAGCCGCCCGGGGCGGGGCAAGCGCCAATTGCTATAGGCTGTAGGGAGAGGCCCCGCCCCCCGCTGTGGTTGCCTAGCAACCGGAGGACTCCGGCGGCGGCCGGTGGGCCGGGGCCGGGGCCGGGGCCGAGCGGGGACCGACTGCGCTGCAGGGACCGCGGGCAGCCCGGGACCGACACCCTCCGGGAGCCGATCCCTGAGATACCCCCGACCCCCCGGGACCTCCCCTGGGCCGCTGTCCCCTCTCAGACGCTCCCCTGGATCCTCCTGCCACGCCCGCCCCCTCCCCGCCCCGAGCCTCCTGCCCCTCACACGGGGGTCCTTCCCACCGGGAATTCACTTCTGACTCTCCCTGGGTTCCCCCGGTACCCTGCTGCCTCCAGATCCATGCCGAGGGGACCCTTCACTCTCTCTCAGCCCCCTGCCCCCTCCTCTTGTCCTTAACCCTCCCAGCACAGCCCCAGATCCTCTCTCCCACCTCGTCCCGCTGGCAGTGCCCGGCCTGGAAGGATGAAGGTGCGTGTTTCATACCGGGAACCCTGCCCTTCCCTCCGAGACGGCCCCAGGGACCTGCAAGCCCTTCTCCACACACGTCTAGGGATTGCTAGAGCTGCAATGTGTGCTCCTCTACCTCAGCCACTACTTAGAAGCAGCTGGGGGCTTTCTCCCCACCATCCTTCAAGGCCAGGAATCCACTTCTCCCTTCCTGTGGGTGTTCAACAGCCTCTCTGGGATAGACACCAGTTCTGATGTACAATCCCAGGTCCTGACCCTGTGCCCAGACCCAGGGAGAGCTCCCCTGTAATCTGAAACTCCCACGTTTTCGCAAATTACATTGTTTCTCTAATGCTGTCACCATGTTTTCGTTTTAGAGATAAAAAACAAGAAAGAAGAGTATGTAAAAGCAGCAGCAGGGGGACCTCGATGTGCTTCAACAGTCTCACCTCGTGTAAGAGATGTTGTGTCCTTTTTAGACCTCAAAACACTCAACTCACAAGTGCTTAATTGAGGCCATGGCAACAGGGGATGCAGCTGTATTCCAAGTACCATCTCAGGATGTGAAACAAAGAAACAAGCTCTTGGTGAAGGGCATAGCAACTCGAGAGAAGGCAACGATCACATTAGATGCCACGAAGATGTTAGATCCATGTCGGTTAAAACCCGATAGCATGGAGACAAAAAGAATCATAACTGTCTTGGATGAGACGATTGCCAAGCTGGAGATGAGCAGTTTGATCCCACATATTATTGACTCTCTGGATAGGTTTGCTGATATGCTAGGTCCTGAGATCACAACCAACCTGATTCAGCACCAAAAGCTTTCAAATGAAATGGAGCACCTGCTTGCCAGCTCTGAAGAAGAGGACACCATGAGAGCTGAGGAACAACAGGGCCGTCTGTGCTTGCTAGAGCAACGTCTGAAATGTTCCGTTAGAAATGTCTTGAGACTCTTACTGGCCAACTCCTCGATTTGCCAGGCTCTGAAATGTGAAGCCTGGGTGAAAGAGTCACCAGCTGAAGTGTTTATCAAAGCCTTTGGGGAGTTCCGGAATTTCATGCTTGAGAGACTCCTGACTGATCCTGTGGAAGAGGAAGAAAAGGTTCAGATCATGGAAGACCTCTCCCTCCAGATTGAGAAAAACACTGAATCAATCACAGCTTTACAGGCAGAACTGGCAGCAGCAATTCGGACTCAAGCGGAGGAGGTATGATATTGTGGGAATATGTTTTCCAACAAAGCGTAACTGAAACAAAACTTTGGTAAGCTAAAAAACGATCCCTTTCTTGTAGTTCCTGAAGAGGAAGTTTCAGAAATGTTTTCTAAACCAGATCCTAAATTTAAAGATACTATTTTAATTGTAAAATGTAATGAAAAATGCTTATTGCATGCTTTTTTTTTTTTTTTTTTTTTTTTTTAAAAAAAACTTGAATTTGGCATGTTTTGAACCTGTTCTCACCAGCCAATTTGAATGACACAAGTCACTGAGTTTAAAAAGGAGCTGCAGGACAGGCACAAATTGCTGTGGTAATGTTTTGGCAGGGCCACAATGCCAGCTGTCAGAGCGAGACTTCGTTCACTACTGATGAAATGATGAAAAGTCATTCCAGGGAGAAAATGCTCTGATTAAAATCCATTTTTAATATCTGCTCTGCCCTTACTATTGCTTAAAACCAACATTTCTGTGACTTCCAACTCTGTAATACCCAAGAGCATTTGTGATTAATATGTGATTATATGAATTCTTCATTTTTTTTCAGTGAAGGCAACTGAGACAGATAAATGAATGGGAATTTCCCAGGCTCTTTCTGTGAGTCCATAGGCTGTGCCAGCATCTAAGCCTCTGAACTCCTGACAAGCAATCCTTTGTTTTATACGTATGCTTTTCTTTCTCCTTCCTGCAAGAGCAGTCAGAGGGGAAGGTTTTGTCATGTGCTCGTTGCACTGAATGGTGCTAACGGAGACAAGGACCTGCTTTCCCCATTCCCTCTGCTCCTTGGAGATCTGTGAATCAAGACACTTGAGATTTTTCTGTGCAATTTGGCAGCTTGGCCAAGGCATCATGAATAAATCTGTCACACTGGTTCCAGCCGAGGATTTCTCTTGCAGGCAGCACACTGTGCTGCATTCCCCAGACAGCCACTCTGAGCCTAATCCAAAGCTTGAGGAAGCCATGGCTCTGATTTTGGCTCTTCCTCAGATGGCAGTGCCAGCGGGTCTCGGTATGGTTTGTTCATTCTCTACCTTTATTAACAGGTTCCCAGAGGAGCAGTGAGGGAAGGTTTCCAAAGCGCCTTGTGTAACTCTAACTCTGTTCCCTCAGCCAGCAGTGGCAGGTCCCTGTTGCTACCAGATCACAGGGTATCATCTCAGATACTTTTGCAAAGGTGCCTGCCTTACTTACCCTGCCCAACTTATGCCTCACAGGCACTTATTGACAGTATTTTTCTCTCTTGTTTTCTGGGTCTAGATTCAGAAGAAGGACAACGAGATCAAAGACCTCAAAACCAGCATGCAAGATCTGGCTGAAGACTGCAAGGCCAGCATCCAACAGATCAAGCAGGAAGGAGAAAAACGGCAAAATGAGGAGCTGCAAGCCTCCCAGGCCAAGTATGCCAGGCTACAGCAGGACATTCAGCAGCTAGAAGCACAACTCAATGCACTTATAGTGGAGCATCGAGCATCAGAGCTGGCTCTCAGAAAGGTAAATGGGAGGAGAGCTCTAGAACAGGAGATTTATAACCTTTTGTAGTGCTGTCAGGTCTGGATGCTGGCTGCTGTAAGTAATTACTTGGTTCCTGCTAGTTCCTGGCAGGATGCACATGCTGTTTGTCAGAGTATACCTGCTCTGTCCTCATGCTCTGCTGATTCCAGTGGAAAACAACCTTGCAGCGACAGCAGGGAAGTAGCCTGCTCACTGGTCCTCCTCCTGCCTGCTGACTTAGCTCTGAAAACACCTTTATACAGTGCTGTGATACTGCATGCTAGAGAGGTTGTGGTCTAGTCAGAGCACAGAGCAGCAAGGCTACAGCAAAATAGGTAAGGCATATGTAAGAAACAAGAGCACAGAGTGAGCAGAGCAAACATAATGTTGGCTTCATATATAGCTATCTTAAGAGTTGATTGTAGTATTCAAGGCTGAGCGCGGTTGATCTTGGGAGCTAAGTAATTCCTACTCTGTCTGGCACTTTGCTGAAGACACAAGCCAAGGAGTTGGGTTGAGTTGAATGAGAGGGAAATGTGATTTATCACAGTGCTGAGCAGGTACAGAAGCAGCAGGCTGTCTCAGGCCTCTGTATCGACAGCTCCATCCTGAGCAGAACATGCTGGTGACACAGGGCACAGTGAATCTAGAACTGCAAAAAGAGCATTTTGCCCCCTCATTTTCCTCCTACTGGGTATTTACTCCAAACAACCACTGGCCTCTCACGGGCAGGACAGCACACGCTGGTAATGGGGCATCTTTCACTCTTGCATTGGACGATGTAAAGTGGCTGTGGGGCTGGGGACTGACAAAGCATCAAATGCAAGTTAGTGCCACAGTACAGAATCCCAAATCTTCCCATTTATACCTTCTTCCAAGGCTGCAGGCCCCTGCAGTACTTGTTGATGAGTTGCTCAGCTCATTCTAACACTCAGGCAGACAGATTTACTGATCACAGAGGTCACCTTTCCCCCTCCTCAGCATGTCTTCTAGCCCTGCATGGCCCAAGCTTGTACTTGTGGTCTAAATAGCTGAGGTCTGACTTCATGATGGCCTGGGAGCCCTTGGAACATCCTAGGCCAGTGTCATATAGGAGGAAACTTTGTGGCACTTGTGATGGGCTCTAGCTGATCTTTCTCTTGATGATTCCACAGATACAGCAGCTTGGGGTAAACTGCCTGTACCTCCTTATACTGCAGTATAGCCACTGTTAAACTGTTTTAACGCAACCGATCTCTTTTTTTTTTAAAAGGCACCATTTTTATGAGTACTTTCTGTCCCACTTCCATGTTTAGCAGTTCTCTATTGCTTCAGTTCTAGGGTGGTTGCCCCAGTTTGTCAATGTCTTCCCACATTCCATCAGACACGTTCATTTCCTACTGCAAAATGCACCTTTCAGATGCATTTTAGTCCCCCAGATGCTGTAAACCAAATAAGGCCCTTTTGGCCTCAGGGAATGTTCCATGAGAGTCCCCAAACCAGGGCAAACAAAATATGTGTCAGCTGAAGTAAGCTTGCCCCAAGGAGGAGGTGTTATACTCAAAGATAATGCTGCTGGGGCTCTAAGCTACACTGTTTTATAACTCAGTCTACTTTTTACCAGATTTCAGGTGCATGCAATGAGCCTATCTTGCTTTGTGTTTCAGAGGAAGAACAGAATGGAGATGGAAATTGTGAACTGGATCCAGAAATATGACACAGACATGGGAGAAAAACAGGTATCCACTTTAAAGTGCTTTGCTCTCCCATGAGGTGATATGTTCAGGTAGATTCCTGCCCAAATGGACACACAGCTCTTACACAGGGGGCCGTGGAAGTGAGGGGCAGTTCTCCATCCAGAAGTAGTACAGATGTTATGATTTGAACCCAGAGGGCAACTGAGCACCATGCAGCTGCTCGCTCACTCCTTCACCCTCAGGAATGGGAAGGAGAAAATAAAACAAAAGGCTCGGGCATCGAGACAAGGACAGGGAGAGATGATTCACTCATTATCGTCACAGGCAAAAGACAGACTCGATTGGGGAAGAAAAAGAGCATCAATCTAATTTAAACACCACCACTTAATTTAACGACCAGAGTAGGGCAGTGAGAAGTATAATCACATCTTAAAAACACCTTCCCCCCACCCCTCCCTTCTTCCTGGGCTCAGCTTTGCTCCTGGTTTCTCTCCCTCCTCCCCTCCAGCTGTGCAGAGGGCAGGGGATGGGGGTTGTGGTCAGTTCATCACCCGTTGTCTCTGCCGCTCCTTCCTCCTCAGGGGAGGACTCCTCACACTCCTCCCCTGCTCCAGCGTGGGCTCCCTCCCACGGGAGACAGTCCTCCATGAACTTCCCCAGTGTGAGCCCCTCCCACGCGCTGCAGCTCTTCAGGAACTGCTCCAGCGTGGGTCCCTCCCACACGTTGCAGTCCTCCCAGCGACACGCTGCTCCAGCATGGGCTGCCCTCAGAGTCCCGGTGCTCTTCTGGTTCAGTCGCTTACTCCAGCGTGGGGTCCTTCGTGGGCTGCAGGTCGGCATCTGCTCCACTGGTGACCTCTGTGGGTGGCAGGGAGGGGCAGCCCTGCCTTCTCACCACGAGTTACAGGGGGGGTCTCTTCTCTGGTTCACCTCCTCTCCTTCTTCTCCTTTCTTCCACTGACCTTGGTGTTTGCAGAGGTGTCTCCCTCACAACTCCAACTCCTCCCAGGTTCCCCTCCTTAAATACGTTCTCGCAGAGGTGCAGCCACTGCTGCTAGTTGGCTCGGCCCTGGCCAGAGGTGGGTCTGACTTGGAGCTGTAGCCCCCCTCCTCCACTACCAAAAACCCACCACACACACACAAACCCAACACAACAGGCTTTTAGAAGGAAAGACATCTTTGTCCTGCCTATGCGTTCAGGGGTTCTCTGCTGCTTTGACTTTAGAAAAAGTTACATCCACTGCTAATTCCCACAGTATTTGGGAGCAAATGGGTTGCCACACTCTGTCAGACATGCCTAGCTGATGCTAGGGAACAGGTTTTTCAGTTTTGCTTCAATCCTCAATCCTGTTGGCCCTACTAGGTGTCCAAATCGTGCTCCTGTTTCTGCTGGCCCCTTGAGAGATGTGCTAAGAAACCGAACAGCCTGTGTACCTCTGCCTTGGCATCCAATTTAACCACAACAGGCTGAGAATCACATCAGTACTCCCCAACCTCACCTCTGAGAAGACCCTAGTTGCTTTCCTGTTCTTGCCCTATTTGTGGAGATGGACAGAAGCTGCTGGATTACTAACAAAGCAAAATGTAGGGAGGGGCCTAGAAGCTGCCTGTTAATAGTAAGAAATGATCCCCCCTTGTCAGATGTTTATCAATGTGATTATTTTGGTTTCCTGTCTGCTGGGTGGCTGGAGCACCAGGTCATGGCAAGTTTGGGGCAGAACTTTCTAAGGCAGACACCCATCCACACTGCTGGTTCCCCTAATTTTCCACCTCCACGTGGCTCCCTCAAAGGCACTGGGAAAGGCATAAACTGCTGCTGAGCTTGGAAGTGCAGTAACACCATTAAAACTACCTGTCCATGGCCTTTTCCAGCTGACATGGTCTGCATCTTCTCATGCTCTCTAGAGTGTAGAGCACATTAGCTGGGCTTCAGTGCCACGCATCTAAATGGCTTCTTAGCAAAGCTGTTAGCTCAGGCTCAGTCTTACCCAAATTGCAGTGATATGTCTTTTTGCAGAAAGCATCTCCAAGAGGGGCTGTGACCTGGTCATAGTTCCCAGATGAGGATGGATGCTGTTTACAACACAAGGAGAATTATGAGAGTATTTTTCAGAGGAGCATGAAGATACTAGAACCTGGCATCTCATGAAATTCCCTAGGCACTAGGCACGTGCCTCCTTTTTTTGAGTCCCTGTGGAAAGGCTCAGCTCAGCTCTCAGACATGGTTCTGCTTGGATTTGAAATGGGTTTAAGACCCCTCACCTAGGGATGTACAGGGAGGAGATGATGAATGCCCTCAGAATTGCTGTAACTGGTATTTGTTGTCTTGCTAGGCTGAGTATGAAGAGGTTCATGCTGCCTATGCTGAGGAGAAGGCCCAGCTGTCCCTGCTGACAGAGAAACGTGCTGTACTTCTCCAGGAGTATTCTCAGATTGCGGAAGAGCGCCAGATACGTCAGGAGAAGGAGGAGCAGGCTTTGAAGGAGCTGAACATCTTGACGCTTGCTGCCACCCGCATCCAGGCCTTCTGGAGAGGCTACTTGGTCCGGTCCCTCTTCAAGTCAAAAAGGAAGAAGAAGAAGAAGGGCAAGGGCAAGAAGGCCAAGAAATAAAGCACAAAATCAATTCTCTCTCCTCCTGGCAAAGCTGCTGACTCTGCTTCGACTGAGATCTTCCAGATAAAAGCACTAAATTTGAGAGAAAATTTGCATTAAGGACTCCAGGCCTGCGGCTGTCTCTCATAGTTGGAGTATTCACATTGTTGTAGTTTCACATTGGCGTGAAGACTGTTCTACCATTTTAGGTTTGGCCTTGCCAACTCTGCCAGGAGGAGGATGTCTCCTGAGGGAAGGACTGGGCCAGGAGTGCAGGTTCCTGGCTTGTCTCCTTGGCTTTACTCTCCTTGCTTCTACCTTGCTTGTGTGTCAGGGCCCCATTCTGTTCTTACTGAAGTTGGCAATAAAATCGTTCCCGGGGGCCTTCCCGAGGCCCTTCCTCTGACAGGGTTTCTGCTTTTGTGGATTTGAGAGACCATGCCCGTTTCTGCAGGAGGAAGCTGCAGGACCATTGCTTCTCAGTGACAGGGGTGACACAAGTGTGGACTGGGCATCACCCCTGACAGTTTGCATTTTTCAGCAGGGGCCTTCTGAAGGGTGGTATGTGGCACAGCCCAGCTCGTGCCCTGCTCCCAATCCTATAAGTTGCTCCCTAAGCCAAGAAGCAAACTCTGTCAGGTTTGACGCAGATCCCTGTTCTGACAGCACGCTCTCCTCTGGATTCTCCAGTGTCTAATGCCCCGAGAGCACACTGCAGCCTTCCCCTTTCACAGGGGCATCAGTCAAGTGTTTTTACTCCCTTGGTCACCCATTTTCAGCAGCTATATAGCAACTTCACACCACAGAGCTCTCTACTCTTCTCACTAAGACTGAAATTAAGGCATGGATACAATCACACAAAGTGCTATGTCTAATTTGTTTAATTGTCTTGGGAAACTAGGCTGTTAACGTGTTACCATAAAGGCCCAGGCACCTCTTCTCCCCTATTCTTTGCTTTTAACAAGGCTGGGAGCAAACAGCATTTTGGATCCAGACTCTCAGTGACATTTCCTCACTCCCAACTTCAGTGGCCCACCCTTGCAGCCTCTTTTCCCAGGAGAGGGCAGTGATGCTGGCTGAAAAGCCCAAATCGTCACCAGGCCCCTGTCCTTGTCTGCCCCTCTAGCTCTGTTCATAAATGGGTACCTACAGCAAAAGGGCTGAGATGCTTTTTACCACCTAATGCAAACCAAAGTGGAGAGGGGGCCATTTTGCTAAGGATGAAGAGTGACTGAGCTCGCTGTGAGGCGGGAGATCCTACAGCAGCGCCCCAAGTACTGAACAGAAAGATTTGTCCTTGACTGTTTATTTGGTTAAAAGTCACAGGGTCAGTGTGGTGTGTCTGTAGCATGCTCAGTACAAGGCGCAGGATTTTTGCCATCCTGCATCCAGTCCAGCGCGGGGCCTGATCCCAAGCGCATGCTGGAATCACTGAGGAATCACAGGGATGTGAGACGCAGGATCAGGTGAGGCCCCTCTCTCTTCTGAAACGGCCAGGGGTCTTCCCTTGTTTGCAACCACAAGAGATGCCTGGATCTGTGGAGACTTTCAGATATTGGTACCCATGTGGGTAGATTGGGGTATATTTACGTCAAGAGGGATGTTTCATCTCTAGGGAGGCTTCAGTTCACAAGCACCAACAGCTCTAGAGTTCTTGGAAAAAGAAGGTCTGGACATGCTTTTAGATTAGAGGATGTTGGGGTGTTGCAAGGGTTGTTGGACACCAATTTTGATGTTTCCCTGCTTCAGAGTATGTCTAAGACCTCCAGATGTTGCTGCCAGATGTCAAAACCTATCTGGAGAGGTGTTCAGCTGGGTGACAGACAGAGAACACCTTCTGATGGGAGAGTCCTTTAGAGTCCAAATTACTGTCAGAATGTTTCCAGACATAGGACGTGCCCTTATGAGCTGCTAGTGCCAGAGGTGCTGGTGCTCATGGATGAAGGACCCGCAGGGGGTGTCTCTTTAGAATGGGAGGAAAGACTCAACTAGCTTCAGTGGGGCAGAAGAAGCTCTGCCCAGAGCAGTGGATGGAGTTTGTCTACTTCCTTCTTCACCTGAGGAGCTGCCTAGCCCAGATCCTCAGGCTTGGAGCCAAGTGTGCTCATTGGAGATGTTTCCAGGGCTGGCGTCAGGGGCTGGGGGAGCTTTCACCCACACCTCAGCCTGTTGCTGCTCATGGCACAGCCAGCTCCAGCCCTGCATCTCCCCGCTCAGCCTCCAACTGGCCACTCTGTGCTCACAGCCCTTGTTCACGAGGGCTGCTTTGCTCGCTGCTTGCCACCAACCTGCTGGAACCCCTTAAGCGCTGTGGGGGTTCCCCACAGGCCTTGGGCCACCCCGCCTGCTTCCCCTTCGCAGTGGAGCCACACGGCCGCATCCTGCCCGCCCCGCGGAGCACCCACAGCCCCACTGTCGCACAAGACAGAGACGGCTGCTCCCAGGATGACATTCACGGTCCGTGCTGCAGCCTGAGACGCCGGCAAGGCTGCCAGGAGCTCCTGGTTTGGGCTGCCTGTGCTAGCAGGGCTGCTGCCGGCGCGCAGGCAGAAGTGCACCGTGCAGGTGATGGGCGTAACGCGATCAGAGAGGGGGGGGGAATCAGAACAGATTAGAGAGATCAGAGCAAGGCGATCCCCAGCGCTGGCAGCGCGAAGGGAAGGGGCCTGGGTGGACGTGGGGGGCGGCTGGCAGGGCAGCGCCTGCTGCAGGCCCCCGTGGCGCTTTGCTGGGCTCGCCGTGGAGTGGGGTCCCCCTCCGGCACTACCCAGCTCACAAAAACCAGGATGGTGAGCTGGTGAGGGGGGGCAGACAGGGCTTTTCCTCTCGGGCGGGCAGGCAGCACCAGGGAGGATTTTTATGTGAGCTGTGACAGCGCCTTTTCCCTGTGCTGCCCCTCGTGCTGGCCCCTCAGCCCCACACGCGCTCACATAGGTTTTCCACACTTGCTTGCTGGTTGGCATTCCTCCCCAGGTCATCTTCTTCCTAGAACAGCTCCAAGAGTGGGATTTTTCAGTGTTTTTAGAGAGGGCCGTTGGAGCAGTGGCACAACTGCGGCGGGCTGTGGGGCTCCTCAGGCCACAAGCTCTGGGGTCCAGCCTGTGGCTGGGCTGCATAAAACCCCCCACTCTCTCCCTCCCACGCTCCGCCTGCTCGCCCCCCGCTGCCCGGCTGTGAAGGAGGGGTCGGCGTCCCGAAGCCCCGCTCCTCTCGGTGTCAGCGGGGCCGCGAAATGGCGGCGGGGGTCAAAATGGCGGGGGGGAAGGGGAGGGAGGGGAAGGGGGCGGGGGGGCCGCGGGCTCTTCCCGCCCCGCCGCCAGGGGGCGCCGGCGCCGCGCCACCGCCTCACGTGCCTCCCCGCCCCGCGTCACGTGGCCGCGGCGCCGCCCCCGCGCCGGTGCCCGGCGGAGCGGAGCGGAGCGGGGCGGCGGGAGCGCGGCCGGCGGGTCTATGGGGAAGGCGGCCGCGCTCTGCGGTGGCGGCAACAGCACCCGCGGGCTGGTCTCTCTCCTCAGCGCCGTCCCCTGCTTGGCCTGCCAGGAGCTGCCGGCCATGAGCGCGGAGCCGGGGGGCCGGGGCGGCGGCGGGGGACCGGCGGGGGGGCCGCCCGCCGCCCCGGGCTCCGACACCTACAAGGGCTGGCTCTTCAAGTGGACCAACTACCTGAAGGGCTACCAGCGCCGCTGGTTCGTGCTCAGCAACGGGCTGCTCAGCTACTACAGGTACCGGAGGCGAGGGGGGAGCGGGGCCGGTCCCGGTGGCCGCTCGGCCCGGCCCGGGCCTGCCGCGGCGGGGCGGGTGCGGGGCGCGGTGTCCTTCGGCTGCCCCGGCCGGGTGCCCGGTGCCGGCCCCCCCCCCCCCCCCCCCAGGCCCGGGCAGGTGCCTCCGCTGGCGGGGGACGAGCCGCGGCCGCCCGGCGGGGAGCGCCCCGTGGGGTCCGCGCTTTTGCGGAACGGAAACGCCTTCGTTTTACACGGTTAGGGTTTTTTGATTTTGCTTTAAAGCAGAGCTCGGGTGTTGATCTCCCAGTGCCGCGGCGCGGTGCCGCGGGGCCGGGACGTTGGTCTGCCATCCCTCCGCCTCCCGCTGCAGTACCTGCAGCTGCTACAGCTACCCTTAGAGCCAGAATCATAAGCTTTCTAACAAAAAACCCCCAACCCTTCTTGCCTAAAATCGATTTGCTTTTGTAACCTGCTTCTGCTGCCTTTTTTTTTTTTTTTTTTTTTTTCCCCCTTCTGCTGGACAGGAGACCAGGGGCTGAAAATATTTCCAGTAGCTGCGTGTGGCAACGCGAGCTCTGCGGCACCCGTGTCTGAGGGGAGAGGATGGCCTGGGGTATTGTGCTTGGGGAGGCAGCCGAGGCACAAGGCTGTGTTATTGCAGGAAGGAGGGAAGTTACAGCACTTAGCGGTGACTCAAAAGTCTTGCCTGCTTTTCTTTGCTGTCCAATGTGATGGTTTTTATACAGATGGGCTGTCGGTTCAGTGAGGACTGGACATAAGGACTGCGAGGTTTGATCCAAAGTGATCTTGTCTTGGTAGGCTCTCTGGTGTTTCTTGTATCAGTTGAGTGGTAAAATAAAAACATAGGGGTGTTGTAGGATTTTGATGTGTTTATCCTTTAGGAAGGACCATGTTTATTCTTATCACTTGGAAGACGTGCTCTGTCAGCTTTAGTATTGTGGAGTGTATGTTGACTGTATTTCAGAACGTGGAAATTATCTCCAACATTAAAGATGGCTAGAATTTATAAATTAATACCTCTTTAAAGTACTAACCCTGTGAATGAGGACTTCTCTGTAAAGGCTATGCAAAAGCTGCTTTTCTTCCTGATACAAAGTTTGTCTCCTGATTCCCTCTCTGCTACAGCTGATGACACATAGCCTGGAGTAGGTCCCTGAGCTTTAGCTAAATTTGCTAAAATTATTTAGCAAATAATTTTTTATTAATATAAACTCCTCCAGCTCTAGAGAGAGATCTGAAACCTGTGTCCTATTGTTGGATTGTGTCAAGTAACAGGTCAGAAGCTCAATGGTGTGTTTATCTGCTTGGAGTTGTTTAACCACACCAAAACTCAAGCCAAACAAAACCACTGTAACAACACTCACCCCTGTCCTCCCCGTCTTGAGAATGTAGTTACCTTTCAGTAATTCAGCTAATTTACTTGTAATTCTTTCTGGTATGCTTATGTTCTTTAACTCTAGTCCAGATCTGGACCAGCAGAGCTATGCAGCTTGAAAAGGTTGTTGAAGTTTAATGCTTCACTTGTAACCATGTCAGAATATTTTTTCTGTATTGGTGCCAAGTCTGTCATGAGCAAACCAGTGGTTTTCTCCAACAATTATTTTAGATTGGAACAACTGGGTTTATTTTGAGACAATTTGTTCTCTTTTAAGCTGAAACAACAAACAGAAACACCCAAGGAAATCGTTCTGAGCAGCATATGAAGGAGTTGAAACTGCATTACTTTGTGGAGCTTTCATCCAGTGCAGACCTCCAGCAGTTGCTTGGGAGAAGTGATGCTGATGGTTTTTGTGCCGTCTTTTCATCGTTTGGCTCAAGGAGAACTGAATTAATTTGGCTGTGAGTCAGGAGTACAAAAATATAGAACAGAACACGTGGTAAAGTTTTTCTTAAGCAGAAAAAAGCCTCCATGATATTCTTCAAAACTGACACTTTTAAATAGTGGTCATGCCAACCCATTGAGTGTCAGCTCAGATTGTCTCATGGGAGCACTCTCCGATGAGCAGTGTGGGGTAAACTGGTATTTTTATTTTAATATGACTTGTAGCTAACTGACAAGAGCAAGGAAACTCAGGCTATCAGGCTGTGTTTTCATTGACCTCTTCCTTGTGAGCAGACTGCTGCTTGTTTGACTTTTATGCAGAGAATTTAAGAAATAACTTCTATAAAGGTCTCTTGCTATTCTGTGAGCCACGTGTCTGTCTTTCTGCTGGGTCTCTGTGCTCGTCCCAGCTCTGAAAGCGCATGCCAGGATTTTGGTTTTCTGCCCTTGCTGCTAAAGACTTTGCAGGTTAAATCATGCCCTTGCAGGTGAATTGTTGTGTTCTCTTTGTCTCCATGGCTTTTGACACCTTTGTGGCTTGAGTATGGAAGGCGGTTGCCCTGATACACCCCACCACTGGATGATTTTGCTGTTGACTATTCAGGGCTAGCTTGATAGAAACTTCATTTTACTTGTGCGTTAAAATTGTCTTAATTAGAAAAACTGCACTGTGGTGCCCAAGTGGCCTCCTTGTGTGTATTGATTTAGTTCCAGATTGAAGCTTTTCATTTCATTTGAATTTCCTGCTGCTCGCTGTTTAGCTTGCTTTAAAAAATAGCCTGTCACGTTGCCTGGTGGTGATTCCTGGTAGGTTTTTTGTTTGTAGAGTTGAGCTCTTAAAATCTTGGGTGGGCTCTTGGGAGCTCCTGTTGTAACGGTGCGTGGGTGTGCACAGTGCCATCCGGCAAGAGCTGCTCTGTGGGGTTTTCTTGGGCAGCCAGGTGCAATGCCTGTTTTCCGCCTGGTTGGTTTCGCAGTGACAGTTTGCTGAATTAAAGCTTCTAATTAGAATATTCTTTCCAAATGGAGTGTTTAAAGCCTCCTGTATCTTTGCTAAATCTATGAAGACATCAAGTCTTGCTGCCAGTGAAGCTTTCCTGCAGGTTGTGTGCTTTTGCTTCGTATTTTCTACTCTGAACCTGTGGAAAATGCCAACAGCTGAGTAACTCTTAAAGATTTCCTCTGCAGTACCCTTCTCTGGAGTGAGGCATCGTGTGAATTTAGGAATTTCCAGGAGTCCCCCAGCAAGATAGTTGGACCATTTTAATTGCTCTTGATTGTCCCTCTTAGGTTGTTTTTTGAGTTTTCTGGCTGACTTGGAAATCTAAAGCATAAAGATGATGCTTGTGTTGGAAGGCAGTTTAAGCATGGCACGACTGGTCTACTTGACTTGCTAATGATCAAAACTCTCTTTCTAAACTGCTCTGGCAGGCTGCCACTTATAGATTTATCATTATCTATAATTAGCATGTCTGTACAGGAGAATCTAATCACCTTGAACAGATAAGTGTTTTCAAGGAGATTAGAGAGGATCTTTAGGTGAGTATTAATTCATCAAGGATTGGCACTGGCTCTTGTGATTGATGCTCCAGATGAATGTTGTCTTCTCCAAGCAGCTTTCTCATGTCCCGAAGAGCTCGAGTTTCATGTTGTCTCCTCTGTGGGTTTGGTCCATTGCCTGTTGTTCGTGGGTTAGGTGTCTGAGGAGCCTTTCAGCAGTACTTTCTGTGGTCACAGGACGTAGCAGTTAAAGCAATGCCAAATGAAGAAGAAAAAAAAGCATTTCATGCTGTGTGTGATTGCGTCATTGCTGCGAAGTGAAAGGCTTCTCACCAGAAAGCAGCCTTAGCTCCCCTTGCTGGGTCTGCTCTTAGAGGGATGATGGGTGCCTGGGGCAGTTTAGCTGCCTTGGCTGCATTATTCTGCTGTCTGTGGTGGAAGGCTTGGGCAGCTCATTTCCCTGGAAAAGCTGTGTTTCCCAGAGCAGTGGTTCTTCACTAGCTTTGTTTATCCAGCAGTTAACTCTTAGTTAGCATTGTAAAGTCTTGAATACAACCCAGTGGGCTTTTTTTCCTGTTTCTTGTACCGAAACTTCATCTGGAAGCTGAGGCGCGGGGTTCAGGGAGCAGTTTGAAAACTGCTTTTGTTACTAGAGACATGAAGGAATTGAGGACTTCCAGAAGATGCTTCTAGGAGCTGCTGATCCAGTGCCTGCTCAGTGTGGGGCCACCCACTGAGGTTGTTCAGGACTTTGAGCTGCTGAGGTTTGAATGTCTCCGAGGTATGAGATTACGCAGCCTCTCTGGGCCCCTCTTCCAGTGCTGGACCACGCTCTGGGGGGAAAAAATGTTTCCTTATATTTATCTTGTACATAATAAAATGAGGAGATACATACACTCTCCTAGAATGACTTTTATAACAGCTTGTCCCTCCACAGACATAGAAGTAGCTGGATGTCCTTGACTGTTTGTCATCCTTGGAGTGTTGGAGCTGCAGGTTTCGAGGACAGCCCTGTAGCTGCACGGTGACTTTGAACTACTTATTTTTAAACAGCGTTTTAATAATTCGTGTTCCCAGTCATCTTGTTTTCACATGATACTTGCTTTATCCGGATGGTGCTTTGCTGTTGGTCATTGTTCATCGTTTGCCCATTTTTGCGGAAGCTCTTTTTCTGTGCTTTGTGAGTGGGGCACGGTGCTCGCACGGCATGTCAGAGCAGCACTCAAGTGCTGCCGTGGTGAGATGAGCGATGCTCTTTGCTGGGCTGCTTGTTGGAGGCTTGATTGCTCTGCTTCCAGTTTAGTGCTGTGGTGGGGGAGTCGGGCTTACTTGGCTCCAAACAGCAACTGCTGCTGATGCTGCAGGAGAGCACGAGACACAGGTCTTAGTCCTTAAGAGTGTTTTCATCATGGCCTGATTATTAGTGCTGTAGGAGGATTTTTATGTCTGTTCCTTAGGTTGTAGTATTCTGCCAGGATCTGTTTTCTGGTTGCAATCTGCCAACAAGAGCTATGAACTACCTTCATGCTTTATTTGTACCCGTATAATCTTAAATCAAGTATGCTGGCCCAAATGCTTCATTTAATGAAATTGTAGCAGAAGTAACTGGCTTGTCTTGTGGCAGAACTAAAATTCTGAGAGGGACAGCGCATTCTGG